TCACAGTATACCAGCGTAAAATAACAGTTTAATGCTGCTGTATTTCGTATGGTGAGTGTAGAGAACCGGAGGCCCTTTTTACTGGAAAAGAGGCATTCCATCTTAGTCCTCACGGGTGACAACGCATCTGCATTTTGATTCGTAATCGAGGATAGATGCAGATGTCTATGGGCCACAGCAACCGCTTACCATCAGGTGGACTGTGTGCTCGTTTGTCACCTTTATCCTATAAAAAATGGTTTTGGAGATGGTGAAGCCAATACCCTCTTACTGGTAATGCAGTTCTCCACACTTTTTTAATTCTTAATCGAGAATAGTTATATAATGTAATAATGATGATAGATTTAGTATCAGGTGGACTGTGTTCTCGCTTGTCATCCTTATTTCTTTAGAATATATATATACCTATATATAAAAATTACGTGTCACGTTTTTAAAACATTCAACCGGTGACCCTCAATATATTTATTTGCGAATTTAAAGATCTTTTAAAGGACAAAGTGCCATCGGAAAGGGCAGAACAATGTCTGCCTGGACAGTTACTATAATATAAGAATTTTTAAACTGTAAGGTTTCGTATTGTCAATAATTACATCTCGCAGCTTTTATAGAACCAAGTATACATCATCATTATCGTCACAATCACAGCCCATGACAAGTCCACAGCTAACCATAAGCCTCTCCCAATCAATTATACAAAGCACGTTCGTGAGCCACGGGTATCCATCTACTCTTTGCAAAAATGATCAGGTCATCACTCCATCCAGTGGCGGGCCGCCCTACACTTTGCTTACCGATATGCGGCTGCCACTCTAGAACCGATCTTTCCCATGGGTGGTCGGTCCGTGGAGCTAAATGGCTGGCCCATCGCTAGATCAACTTGGTGATTTAGGTTACCCTGGTTCTGTTGCATTATCATTACCGACTCTTTTAACCAGAGGTAGTTCTCTCCATAGCTACCTGAGCGACCCTAAGCACTCATAGGGTCAGTAGTGAAAGATTACGTCTTAGCTCAGTTGCATATTATGTCATAATTGGCTACACTCAGTGGTCGTATAAGGCGATTCAAGTAAGAATAGGACTGACCTGGCGCCATATTATGACGTCATACCTCTCAATTCAAACCATTTAGGTAGGGTGAGCAAAACAGATGTTTTTGAAATAATATTTATTTACAAATGAACCATCGTTCATGGTTCGTTTGTAAATAAATATTATTTATCTGAATCTAGCATTTCAATTACGCTCATCTCTACATCACTGTCTGAGTAGTCATCATTGTCATCATAATCATCACCTTCTTACGTGGTAGAGCCATGCTGCAGCTATATTAGTAGTATAGTTGTAGCACGAATGGGTCTGCTCGACCGGGGTAGGACCACGCTCTCATAGAATACCAGCGTAAAATAGCAGCTTAACGCTGCTTTGTTTCGTATAGTGAGTGTAGAGAACCGGAGACCCTTTTTACTGCAAAAGAGGCATTCCATCTTAGTCCTTACGGGTGAAAACGCATCTGCATTATAATTCGCATACAAGGATAAATGTAGATGTCTATCAGGTGGACTGTGTGCTCGTTTGTCACCCTATCGTATAAAAAAAAACCTCTGCTTATGTAGATTGCGTGTGTATGTAGGTATTTAAAATATTCCACCGACTAGTATTAATATTTTAAATTAATTTATTAAAAATATTTTGAGTTTAATAGGTTTGGACTTTGGATACAGAGACTCAGTTAAATAAAACTGAGAAAAAGACGTTATTAATACGCAAATAAATTTTCTTTGCAATCCGTATTTTTCAAGTGACAGTTGACTGATCGTGGTCATTCAAAGTCATTGATGTTTCTATTCATATTTGACTCGCATTGTACATTCTTCTTTTTTTTTCAAGGTTTTGAGGAATAAGTAACGATAAGATGTGGCGTAAGCTATAGGTCGATTAACCTGTTGGTCGGAGTTGGAAGAAGAACGTTTACTAAAGAACATCGGTCAAATACGACCTGACCAAAATATGAAACGACCACCAATGATTGATACGTCAAAAAATAGTGACTTAGGTGTATATTAAATTACGGGGTCCAACTTATTTTATTGGAGCCGGTAAAATAATTTAGCTTTGTATAGTCTGCGCGGAAGTGCTAGTCATCGCCTTAGGTATGCAAGCGGCGAGACGGGGGAGGACGCGATTGACAAGACGCACACGAGATATTTGAGGACAGATAAATCTCCGGATAACCATGTTAGAAACTGTCTTAATTAATATAATGGGTAAATTATTTATATTTTCCGGGCTAAACAAAAATTAACACGTATTTAAAAGCGTTAATTACATTTTATTATTTATGATACAAAACAGTTTTATAAACTCACCACCCAAATTAAACCTAAATTACCATACTGCGAGAATTCTATGTTCGACCTGTGGGTTTGTATCACAAATAAGGAGGTTATTAAAACCTCAATCCATCTTAGTCATCACGGGTGACAACGCATCTACATTTTGATTTGTAATAGAGGATAGATGTAGATGTCTATGGGCCGCAGCAAGCACTTACCATCAGGTGCACTGTGTGCTCGTTTGTCACCCTTATCCTATAAAAAAAAAACAATCCGTTATAGCACAAAATTAATCCATATCTTCTTCTTCTTCATTACTATACATGTCTTCAATTTCCATATCCTCCTCAGAATCTGAATCGTTTCCCAGGTTTATGATCAACTCGTCTATTACATTGTCAAACCTCATATCGTGGTCCCAATATTGGTTCTCGATTTTCTGTACGTGGTCGTCACACTTTTGCCATCTTCCTGGAGTGAATTCAGAAAACAATTTTGTGATGATTGGAATTTTGTCGTCCAATGAAGTATTTATATAATTTGTAGCTAAATTGTTCTTTATATCGGCCCACACAAGCTCAATGGGGTTGAGATCAGGATGATATGGCGGAAGGCGAAGAACGATATGACCTGAAGCCTTTAATATTTCGTCAATGACGTAAATTTTTTCGGACTGAGTTCTATTTATCAAATGAAAGAGTTCGGCTTTTGTATTATCTGGTGTAAATTCAACATTACGTTCGCGTAACCAATCTTGCATGTCCCTTTTTAAACTTGACATAGTAGGTTTTTTCTTTACCTGTACACAATGGTAGGAGACATTGTCCATTACGACCACTGAATTAGGAGCTAGTTTATTTTTCAATTTGTGACTAACCCAGTTATGAAAATTTGTGACATTCATATCGCCATGGTAATCCCCACATTTCGAATCAGATTTGAAAATTGTTAAGGCACCGTTAACTAATCCGTCTCGGCTACCACCATGAACAATCACCAAACGACGCCCTTTGCCAATATCAGCATAAATTCCAGGCTCAGATTCGGATTGCCAACACATATTGGAGGTGTGGCTACTATTAACGTAGGTTTCGTCCAGATAATATATGTTTCGGTTTTCATTTCTATGTTTCCGTATAGCTCTTAAATACCTTACTCTCCATTCAGCAATACTGGGCCTCTCAATTAAAATGTGTCTCTTAGATTTACATTTTTTAAATAAATATCCCATCTTATGTAAAAGCTGTCGTAAATAGGTACAACCGCAGTTCACAATGCCATCTTCTTTTAAAGCTGCAAGCAGCTTACGAATACTTGGGATTTTCTTATCACTAGTATAAAATTGATGAATTTTTCTTCGTATAACTCCCATGTCAAAATCATCAATGTGGATTCTCTTTTTTATTTCTTTAGGTTTCCGCGGAGATGAAAATTTTGCAATTTCCGATGTTTGTAGACTCGAATTTCCTTCAGCTACAATTCGCATTACGGTGCGGGCAGACACTCCTGTAGCCTCTGCTACTAATTTATTAATGTTCATATCATATTTGTGTTCCATACTTTCCTTGTCGCCCTTTCGTCTTAAAAAAAAAACTATGTACATTATAAATAATATTTTTCACTTGTCGTGGTATTGGCGGACCCATCTTAGAATATTTATCTCATGTATTTTTGGAGAAAACTGTCGCGTACAACTGAATCGTGTAACCGTCGCGGCGGTTGACGGCAGACTGCGTCAGCTTGATGTTTGTCTACCTCCCCCGTCCTGCCGCTCACATACCTAAGGCGATGACTAGCACTTCCGCGCAGACTATAATGAAAAACCTCATTTGCTTACTACTTTTTATAGATATTGAACGCATCTAAACCCGTCCCGTTTTTATCTGTGGTGCACGTTTCATCATAACACTACCATTATGCGTTTCCTTTTTTTTAATACTATTTTTTATTTATTTTAGTAGTGTATTATTAATAATATCATTTTTAGATGGGTATATGAAAAATATTCCGAAATAAGTTGCAAATTGTTGTTACAGTAAATATAGAATACACTAATACTTAGAACGGAACGTATTATGAGTGTCTCTATGCAGTCTGTGGTATTATAACACTAGAGCTGTCAAATCGTGAGCAAAAGTCAAAGCACCTGTGTCTTTTAAAATATTAGAAAGGTTATTGATTCATTTTTGTGGTTTTAGCCATTGACCTGACTTATTTAGTTAAGTATATATTACTGCATAGTTTTCATATCAATTGTTTTAGCCGAGGTATTAGTCATGGCTGCAGTCATGGCTACATCATAACCTCAAAAGTGACGAAATACATAAGTGTAACGTTCTATGATCCTCGGCTTCTAAATAATATATTTTCAATTTAGGATTTAGATTGTACCCAGGGGGGGGGGGGGGGGGGGGAGCAGATTAATCCATACACCAGTCACATTCGCGATATTTTATAGCCAGGTCACAGCATGTATGGGACGTGACCGATGTTCTTTATTAGTCATTATTCGATTCTTAATACATTTGAAATATTAAAAGAAACAATCACTCAGAGTATACGTAATAGCACGATGATTATAATAACGGTTCACAGACTATATTATGAAACTATTATTACTCAAATGAGTTACGAGCTATGGAAACGAAAAAAAAAAGAAAGTGGTTATTGTTTTAATTTGATTTTTTCAGTAGCCAGTGCAAGTTTGCGAATATTGCATAGACAGCCAGCTGATGCTTCCTGCAGGATCGGATCTTTCGAACCGATTGTTTCTAGAAGGAATTGTACTACGCCAGCCTGAAACAAAACATCAAAATTACAATACATTTATATAAATTGATACAAAACAATTGTTTTCTTTGATATCGAAAAATGTATCCTTTTTCTTTTTACATTTTTTTCCTTTACTTGTTTGCCCTATACGTTTTGATGAGTCAATAATAGAAATTTAATTTTGATTTCTGTGTCACGCTAGCTGTAATTTTATGAATTTAATATACAACCTCATACGTAATTACAGGTACTACATAATAACAGAATTGACGTACTTAATGTAATAGAGAAGACTAAACTGATTGTTGTACATCAGACCTTTAAACTAAAAAAATAATTATATGGAAGCAGTTACCTTTACGAACTCGTAAAAAAAAAACAAATTTGTCTGTTCAGCCAGTATATGGAGTGTAGAGTACAAGGGGAACCATCTTATAAGGGACGAAAGTTGAAAAAGTGTCCCACTATTTACTGAAAATAGAGGTTCCAAAACCTACCACAATAGCTCTGGCGTCTGAAAAACTACGATATGAAGATAGATGTTATGAACGGAGTGAAGTCAGCTGAATTCAAATATTTAAATAATTTCATGACTAGAGTAGTTAGTAAAATGCAAGTATGCAAAATCTCAACTATTTACGTAGTACAAAACCAAGCGGATTGGTCGGTCCTTGTTTATTTCTACATCTTACTTTTTGTTTAATTTATCCTATGCGCGATAAATTTAAAAAAAAGCCAGCGCCACCCTTATTTGACATGTTTTTAGGGACACTTTTAATAGTATAGAGATGGTCCTCCTTCTCTCTACACTCCATAAGCCAGTAGAACGTGTGCAGCGAGCATAACATCGATCATAGATATAGTATACATCTAAATCTATGACATCGATATATAACATTGATATGTAGGTAATTTAATATTAACGTTGAAGGGCTTAGTACAGATATCGTTATGATCTGTGGTAATTCTTACCACAGATCATAAAAACAAAGATAATTACGTTGTTACGTTTTCATGTAACCGCAGCAACTTGTCGTGTCGACAAAACTAATGCCATATTAAATAGATTGAACAATATAGTTAAGGTTTTAGGTAGATTTGTAACGAATATTCGGTTATAATTCGGTATTCGGCCTATTCGGTCGAATACCGAATACATAGGTAGGTACTACTCGCCTGAATACCGAATATTTAAGTAATATGTTTTGTTGTAATCATATATAATTAATAAAATTATAATATTGATTTATTTTATAACAAGCTGTGCCCGCGACCTTGTTCGCATAGAAATTTTGTTTGTTTCGAAGTTTTATTACTTTGGGCCTAATTGATTATATTTTATAAACTACACTACAGTTGGAACTCCTTCAGTAATTTCGTCATAAAACCGATCAAGTGCATTGATGACTTAAACACCGAGGGTGCCGTTACGTTCAATATTTTATTAAAAATAAAACTAAGTAACATAGATATATATGTACACTAAGAAAATCTGAAAAATAAACTTAGGAAGAGGTTACGCAAACACTGCACCGCAAACTTCAATGATAAGGAGAGGACGAGAACTTGTTTGCCGTGTAGTGGCGGCGCAAATGAAACCAGCAACCCGTTACATCCCAGGGATATAGTAAGAGGCGGTTATAGGAAATCCCAGAAAAATCTACTAATTTGAAATATTTTGTAGCGGTGTAAGATCATATCCGTTATGTCAGAGCCAGACATAAAATACCCAGACCGGCTACGGGCAGCAACGTCAAAAAAGCCAAACGTCTTAGATTACAATAGCCTGCTAACCGTGACAATTAAAGACAAGAGGACATGGAGAGTTACATGTGATGATGAAGAAGAAGAATAGATAATGCTATGACATTTTTGCGTGTCAAAGTGATGCGACAAGGACTTTCCACCTCTGATCCCTCCAAACTTTATATGCGCTCTTGCAAATCGTGTTGTTTATTTACAAAGTTGTAGGTGTTTCGTTTTATGCGAATTTGTGTGATAAAACACCCTCTCCCCAACATCATCACCACTGTCAATATCTACTATGACCTTTTAAGAAGAAGACTACAAATTTGAGCCGAGTACCGTTGTGAGGAATTGGAGAATATTTATTAAAAGTGAACAGTGACACCTATCGGTAAATGTTAAAAGAATATAATAATATAAAAAACAAGTAGTACTTTAGACGTGATACCTTCATAAACAAACAGCAAACAGACAGACAGACAGGCAAAAAATACTAAAAACGTTAGAAATGTTTTATTTTAATCGCTCTCAATCATTTTCATCACAAAAATATACAATGTACAGACGACACCTGCTATTTACATTTTTATTATATAATGTGTGACGAATATAGATAATAGATGTATTTTTCTTGTAACTAACTAACGTTTAGACTACACCTATGATTAAAAGAGTCAGAGATACATAATCAACTTTCATTTTACAAAAAATAACAAAAAAGCTCAAATAAATGTCGATGCACTTGAATTATCGTAATTAAAAATTTAGAAGTCCACTTCTAACCTTCCAAGGTTATGGTGCAGAAATACTTTATTTAAATATTTTATTTTTAAATATTTTTTTCTGCCGTTTCGGTAATATTCGGTATTTGGCGTGTGGCCAAATATACCATTCGTTGCAAGTCTAAAGTTTGGTTCCTTTTTAATTCATGAGAAAAACTGTCAAAATGCTGATTTTTAAACAACTAAACTAATATAATATAATCCGTTATTTGTCTACATTACAAAGTTTCTTATATACAACTCGCATTTAACTTACAACCTTCAAATAAAACGAAAGTCACTGAGATAAACAGCAGGAAACAATTGAAGGTCTTAAGAATGTAAAATATTTTTTCATCATCATTACAACCTTTCATAAGTCCACTGCTGAACATAGGCCTCCCCCAAGAAATGCCACAAAGCACGGTCCTGAGCCACCTGCATCAATCGACTTCCTGCATGTCTTACCAGGTCGTCACTCCATCTAGTGGGAGGTTGCCCTACACTTCGGCTGCCGGTACGAGGCTGCTACTCGAGAACCTTTCTTCCCCATCGGTTGTCGGTTCTTCGAGCTATATGGCCGGCCCACTGCCATTTCAGCTTACTAATCCGTTGGGCTATGTAGGTTACTCTGGTTCTACTGCGGATATACTCATTTATCACGCAGAGAAACTCCGAGCATAGCCCTCTCCATAGCTCGCTGAGCGACCTTGAGCTTCCTCATACGTCCAGCAATGAAGGACCACGTCTCAGATCTGTAAGTCATCACTGGCAACACGCACTGGTTGTACAATTTTGTTTTCAGGTTTTGAGGTATGTCTAACGAGAAGATGTGTCGTAGTTTCCCGAACGCTACCCGGCCGAGTTGAATCCGTCGAGAGGTCAATCGATGGATTGCTTTTTATTATTTAAAAACAATTATCAAACTGTTGTCTTTTGTTTTATATCTTAGCTGCAATGGTTTATAATAGTAAACAAGTTAACTTACAGCGTGCATGGTGACACAATTAATTGAGTAAAAGGACAGATGGTAGAGGGCTAGAGCCGTAGCTCTGTGGACATTAGGGTCGCGTGACGTCATGTAGTTGACCAAAGGTGTGATGGCGCCGCGCTTCCCAAACTCCTGTCGGTTCTGGGCCCAATCGCAACAATACGCAATGGCTACACCCAGATTCGCCCGCAGATGATCATCGGTGGTACTAACTGCAATTATTAAAAAAAATCATTTCGGTTTTCGGCTTTTTAAAAAGAAAATAAAAAAAAATCGCAAAACGTAGAGATAATTTAAGTAATAGTTCTTGTACTATTATTTATTCTGTAGTAATAGGCAAATAGATCTTCTTTTATTGTTAGGAGAATTATTAGTAGACATAGTTCACCACACCCAGAACACGGGTTTTTTAAAACCCCATTCTTTTAATTTTTGGGACATGCAACTTGCATGGCCACATAATATTAATGTTTTTTTTTTTTATCATATTAAGTACACGTGATATCAGCATTTAAAGTTACTTCAATGATGCCCAGGGGATCTAATTTTGGTGACTAGGTCACTAAAAGCATTTGTATTTAAATGATTATAATATGTTCTTGATTAAATTTCATCGTTCGTTATGGTCTTATATGATTAGGAAAGAAATTTTAGATCATAGCCACGTATAATATATACACACTACATTCTGAATTATTATGTTAAAAAAAGAAAAAATTGTTACTATAATTGATGACCAACAATTGTAAAAAGCAATTTAATAGTATCGATTGAAGCGAAAGTTTCAATTAATAACTTTCACATTATTGTATTTTTACGCTTTCGACATTTAGATAACGATATGAAATTAAATTTTACAGTAATAATTTCAAATAATATTTATCTGCATATTCAGTTATTTAATCTTTATTACTTTATTTTATCCATGAAACAAAAAAGAACGATTTTAATGTCTGCAAACAGTTTCTAGAAATAGAATTCAACATTTTCAACATTTTTTCAGTTTAATAAACTAACTGCCAAAAATAATATTTTTATATATTATTAATTAAATGTACCTACCCCTCTGGGTGAGAGGCGTGAGTGTTTATGTTAAATGTATAAATAAATATGTATTAAGTAGCAATGGTCCGACAAAGTTTTTTTTATAAAAGTTTCGTAATTGACTGGATAACTTACCCAATTTAGAGAGCTTAGCCACAACACCGTGATCAGAAATGACGGCCAAATTCTCATGGTCCCTGGCTATTGTGGCGATCGCTGCGCACACCGCCGACAAAACATTGTGGTCGTCAGAGTCCAACAAATCCACAGTCAACTCCAAAGCACCGACAAACGACCGCACCATCTCACCAGAGTCCGTGGCATTTTGTACGCATGGACTTAAAGCTAATGTCGCGTTAGTTTGCACCTTCTTTGAGTCGTTTTTCAGTAAAGACCAGATTAATCTGACTCCGTCCAGTTCGTCTATTTCCGTCATGCAATTTTGTTCTTTAGCGCATTCCATTAGTACTAGAGGCACGTTTTCCAATAACGGTTTATGGGTGTTGTTTAAGTGGTGTACTGGTGAATAAAATGGTATTAAAACATTGTTTAAATATTTGTTTTGATACATTGTAATAGCTACTATACAACATGTATCAAACATTATATATAAATCTGTAAATTGGAATAGCTAAAGGCAATAGCTTTAATTCGCTGAGACACACAGCTGAAAGGCCGTCTGGCTCAGAACGGCCATCTGACTTAGGGTTCGCGGGAGTGGCCGAGCTGTGAAAGCCAAAAGGCTAACAATACTAACATCACAGAATATGTAGAGCTGCGGCTGAAGTGCTGCTGGCCGCGAATTCGAATCCCGCACGGAACTGGTGTTTCACCAGAGCCAGGCCACATGACCATCAATAATTATTTATAGGCTTATAAACAATTATTTATAGGCCATGTCTATAAATATGTTTGTTTATCCTCAATTCACGTACGTGAAACGTCTCCAAGATCCAGAAAATCCTAATGTTTCTTCAGAGAAAAATGTATTAGTCTAAAACAGCTATAAAATAAAAAATAAACTACAGTTTCGGTAAGTTTCTTTTTAAATAGAAGAAAGGGCGATGAACGAGTACATAGGCCACCGTTTTTTTAACTATTATAAGCCAGGGCTTTACTACTATTGTCTATTCCACCTGATGGTAAGTATTTATACTCTTCCTTTGAAGACATTACACACGTTGCACGTCGTACGTCGATGGAAAGTCAAATGCTGGCAAATAGTAAATGTATGTCCATAGACATGTAGACATTTTTTTATAGTATAGGGTGACAAACGAGCACACAGTCCACCTGATGATAATTGATTGCTGTGACCCATAGACATCTACATCTATCCTCAACAAAGAATCAAAATGCACATGCGTCGTCACCCGTGAGAACTAAGATGGAATGCCTCTTTTCCAGTAAAAAGCGTCTCCGGTTCTCTACACTCACCATACGAAACACAGCAATGTTAAGCTGCTATTTTACGCTGGTATTATGTGAGAGCGCGGTCCTTCCCCGGTCGAGCCGACCCATTCGTGCTACAAGTATATTATTAATATAGCTGCAACATGGCTGTACCACGTATAAAAATATCTGATGATAAAGACGAAAAAGATGTTTACTTAAACTTACAACTATAAATCCCAAAAGACATATTTCATAGTTATATAACCTGGCTAATATATAAACTTTCTGCTACTGGCTTTCATAGTTATATAAACTTTAGCCAGGTACACCTAAATTACGAGTATGACTTAGGGAGTACTAGACTAGTTGAGATACCACTTGATGATGGCTTAAATCACTACGAGATACTGTCAGGTCTCTTACTACAATCTTTAAAAGCTCTATTTTATTTCTATCGTACTTACTTAGTAATGGTATGCCGCCTGCGGCGCGTATTTTTTCTCTATTAGGTGGAAATTTAGCACATTCAGCCAATGCTCCAGCAACGTTAGTCAGCACCCCATCATTTTCATCATCAAGCAACCGTACCAATATCGGAACTGCTCCAAGTTGATCCAACTTCTTAACACTGGCGTCGCTATTGGCACATTTCCAAAGAGCTCCTGTTACGGCAGCCATTAAAGGCTTATTCGTTCTATTAGTGCTATCTTGTGCCGCCTCTACCAGGAGTTCCAAACCTCCAGCTTCTCGTATCATATCCCTTGTAATAGCATCGCTAGCACATTTGTATATCGCTAAACTGCAATAAGTCTAAAACAAAAACCAAGAACCATGATCGTTTCTGATTAAAATCAAAAATTTCCTTTTACATTAAAATATACCTTTAAATCTTTATCCTCATTTGCCAAATGTTTGATTAAATTGTCAACCATCTTTTCGGTTTGTATGGCCAACTGGAAAGATGTTTCATTAGCGCACATCTGCAGTAAGCCGACTGCAGGCACAGCAACATCAAGATGCACCGTCTTAAGCAAACGAGCCATTAAAGGTATCATACCAAATTTCCTCATAGCCTCTCGATTTCTTTGTGATGAAGACATTGACCACAAAGCCTTAGCACCAGCACGTGCAATATCAAGGAACTGCGTTTCGTCTTGGCTTAATTCTTCTCGCGGCGTTAGCAGATATCTAATTATGTAATACATAATATTAAATAAAGAAAATAAGTAATACTGTAATAAAACATGAATGTAAAAATCTTTTACATTTTATAAATTGAAATATGAAATTACCTCTCTTTGACATCTAACAAATCAATTAATTTCGGTATTCCACCAAACTTTCTGCAGAATTTTCTACTTTTGCGAATTCTGCCTAAATTTGCTATAGTTTCAGCTGCTAATATTTGCACATCTTTAGCGGGATCTGACAGTAGGCCGACAAGCAAGGGTATAGCACCTAAATCAGTCACCTTTTTTCTTATTTCAATGTTTGGCGTTATATCTTTAAGAACCGCCAAACTGCCCAGAATACAACAAAGATCTCTGGTTTCCAGTAAATTAACTAAAAGTTCAAGTCCTCCGATCTCCTGAATTGCTCTTTGGTTAACTTCTATTGTTAAATCGTGATCTTTTAAGCAAGAGAGAGCAACCATCGTAGCCGTTTGATTTCCAGCCTTCATATATTTCACAAGTTTTTGGATGTGCCAGTATTCTGGTGGTATTTCCGAGGACTTGATTAAATCCGCCCAGTTGTCTTCAGAAGATGTTGTTGAAGATGGTGATGAAGCTGATGTATCTGAACCTTCAGTAACCATTACAATTCGCGGCAAACCAACCGTGTCTTGGCCTCCTTCCATACTGTATGCTGATACATTATCGCCTTCCGCCATGATTTACTTACCAGTTCTCTATATACATTTAAAAATATATGTAGTGGTATTATTATAAACGTGTTTATAAAAGCACCAATTTGTCTTAAGTTGTTGAATGACATTCGAAAAACTATTATGTCAATAACGTTTCTTGGCAACGTACAAGTAGGTCTGTGTGCCTAAGGGTATTAGTGTTCTGTGGGTCTGTGCGTACACGACAAGTAACACAACACAGACACAAACATATGATACTTTATCCAAGTCACAAACACTGTAGCTATACTTTAGTTATTATTCTGAGGATTTGTGGTAACTTGGTTTAGTTAAGCTCCGAGTGTAAACTCATGACGAATTTTTGATTGATGATGGTAAAAAGTAGTGATTATATTATAATCTTTGCCTTTTCTATCCTTATTTTTGTAACAGTTTACATATTTTCCAAAATTTTAGTAAAAATGTAGTGATAGGTTATAGAAATTACAATGAATACTTTATCTATATCTATACAAATAAATAAAATTGAAGTGTTTGCTTGTAATCTAAATGTAACAGCCTTTTACTAAATAAATACATATGAACGTATAAACGGTACTTATAACAAAAACACAATTTTTTAAATGTTTGGCTGTCTGTCTGTTTGTTCCGGCTAATCTCCGAAACGGCTGGACCGATTTTGACGGGAATTTCACTGGCAGATAGCTGATGTTAGAAGGAGTAACTTAGGTTACTTATATTTCAGAAAAAGAGTTAGGGTTCCGCTATATAAAACCCTAAATGACACGCGGGCGATAATGCAATATTTACAAGGTTTTTTTTATAGGATAGGGTGACAAACGAACACACAGTTCACCTGATGGTAAGTGGTTGCTGTGACTTATAGACATCTACATTTATCCTCAATAAAGAATCAAAATGCAGATGCGTCGTCACCCGTGAGGACAAAGATGGAATGCCTCTTTTCCAGTAAAATAGGTCTCCGGTGGTCCACTCACCATACAAAACACAGCAGTGTCAAGCTGCCATTTTACGCTGGAATTCTGTGAGAGGGTGGTCCCTCCCCGGTCGAGCCGACCCATTCGTGCTACAACTATACTACTAATATAGCTGCAGCATGGCTCTACCACGTATAAATTAATACGTTTTCTTGTTTCAGTTTCGTCGAAGTGTTCGAGATGTTCTGAAACCCGAGCATAATGATCATTATCTTTTACGGTGGCTAAGAGGTGAGAAATTCAAATATTTTTAGTTTAAGGCAGTAAGGAAAGCCTACCGCAATTCATCGAAAATTAGACTAGGTGAGTGCTTGAAGGTGAAATTTCATGAGGAAATTTTTCCTTCACTGCTTTTTGCCATAAAATATAATATGTTTATATTAATGGACATTGTGCATTAATATAAAAATATTTATAACTTGAGGACCACAATACCATTATTTACAAGAAATTATCACACATTGGTTTAGGCACTGTTATCAGAGGTCAGTGCCGGGTTACTATTACTATAGCAAAGACGGGGGAATATTCGTAATGTGAACATTGACCACACCAGTAGGGTTGCCACCTTTTTTTGAACAAATATAGTATTTTTCCCAAAAATAGACACAAATATATAGTACTTTTGGGAAATTCAGGAAAAAAAATTACACATTTATTTTAAATTTTTATGTATTTTCCCATAAATATTTGATATTGCTCTTCGCTTTTCTTCCTTTCTTTCTTCGCTATCAATGATCTATTAAAATAATTATAGGAATCTGAGCAATATAGATTGATATAAAAATAAATTAACAATTCGTTTTTAATTAAATTAATACATGCTCTATTTCTTTCATCTTTCCATTTTACATTCATGAAGAAAAAAAATTTCTTTCCGTAAAACGTACTTGTTCTAGACTTCCAGTCACAGTTAATATAAAAAACCGCAACAATTGAATTAGGGACCAAAATATAGTATTTTCCATACTATATTATTTTTCTATAATATATAGTACAATATTAATTGAAATGTAGTACGATACTATAGATAGTACAGGTGGCAACCCTACACACCAGTGATATAACATTTTATAAGACACACACTTACACAAGTTTAATTATTTATTTACATAAATGCTTACAACTTACACAGCTACATATAAAATACTAATAATATGTAGTAGTATACTTTAAATATAGTTTAAAAATTATTAGATAGCAATGTATGGAAAAATTGGCAAAATTAATGGAATACTTTTGTCTTTTCTATACGTGGTAGAGCCATGCTGCAGCTATATCAGTAGTATAGTTGTAGCACGAATGGGTTGGCTCGACCGTGGAAGCTCTACGCTCTCACAGAATACCAGCGTAAAATAGCAGCTTAACACTGCTGTGTTTCGTATGATGAGTGTAGAGAACCGGAGACCCTTTTTACTGGAAAAGAGGCATTCCATCTTAGTCCTCACGGGTGACAACGCATCTGCATTTTGATTCGCAAGCGAGGATAGATGTAGATGTCTATGGGCTACAGCAATCACTTACCATCGGGTGGACTGTGTGCTTGTTTGTCACCCTATCCTATAAAAAAAGTCTATTGGCATATGTACATTATAGAGCGAAGTTAAATATTATCCACTCTTCCTCCACTCCCGGGTGAGAGTAACCTCCCCCCACCCACCAGATACAGGCGGCATTTATACGATATATTAGCTGGTACCCGCGACTTCGTCCGCGTTGCTTGATATGTGCGAAGAAAAAAACATCAATAACTCAAAATTTGTTTGTTAACAATGTTATTCGTTGCTCCGTTTGTAGCTAAAATATATAAATTATCTGGGTTAGTAACGTTGTTTGTCACATCTGATCAATAGTCAGTTTTTTTTTTCAAAACAGCTTACAACACAATGATTGCATGACTACGAGTATGATCTCATAATATTCACATCAGGACCGTCATAATTAATGCTTATAAAGTTTTTATCCTCAATTTAATAACAAGTAATTTAATTTTAAGCCGTAATAAAATTTAGTTAGCCACAAAAACAGAATTTAAATAATTTGGTTAGCATTCAAAGATTCTGTTTACAATACAGAGAAACATTCGGCAATTCTTGTTTCGCAAATAATCTTGATAATGTTTAGTAATTTAACCATAAATAGACAGCTTACAATAATATGAGTTTACTTAATAAACTGTCAATCCGCAAAATAGTTAACTGATCAGCAAGATTCGATTGGTTAGCAAAGAAAATATGTCTATAAGCAGAAACCTAAATTTAACCAACTGCTGCTGTCCGCAGTAGTTGGTTAAATTTAGGTGTACTGCTAAATTTGTAAAAATACGGAAATACGTATCCAGTAATATCAGCGACACTAGGTTAAGATGCGGCTGGGGGGGAAACATTTTTTAATAATAATCTTTTTTTTTAAGTTGCCTACCCTCTAAGTGCTTATCAAAATTTTATAAACGCGAGTCACTCATTGCAGCTTATATAATTAACTAGCTGTGCCCCGCAGTTTCACCCGCGTCATCACGTATCGGTGGTGCGCGACATGACCTAGTTCAAGCATTTTATAATTGCAAATTAAATATTTTATTTGATAGCAATGGATGGAAAAATTGGCATAATTAATGGAGTACTTTTATTGATCTGTCGGCATATTATGTGACGATGTAGAGTGAAGGTAAGTTTTATCCACTTTCCCTCCCCCTCCGGGTTGAGCGTCCTCCCCCCCCACCGTTCTCTCCGAGCGGCTAGGGTTTATGCGTCGTTCGCGTGCCCAGCCAAGTATTGAATTATTTTAATTTAACATTACCTCTTAAACTATGCGTCCAAATAACATGTAATAAAGAATAAAGTTTATCTTCATAAAATTGTCTTGATGATGAAGTAATTTTCGTTCGTAAGGATAAATAGGCCATGCTTAATAATAACGCTCATAAATCACTTTTAAATTTTCAATATTTTTTTGTCACAAAATACCTAATTATGGCTCATGTATAAGAAATAGACATATGGTATCGCGGACTTTTTTTAGACGGAGTAAAGATCTATATTTATCTAAAACATTGTATTTACGTATCCCTAACGATAACACCAGCGTACGCAGATAAATCATTCCGGGAGTGCTTTTTCTTCTGACTTGCTTAACAAATATCCATATTTAAGGCTAGCTGAGTGATATAGCTTAATGATAGATAGCCTATACTATTCCACATGAATCTGGCTATAATATACAAAAAGAATTTTTCAAATCGGACTGGTAGTTCCAGAGATTAGCGCGTTTAAACGAACAAAAAAAAACAAAAAAACTCTTTCGCTTTATTATATATAATAAATAATAATAATAATAATAATAATTACGCCGGATGACGTAGCTGAGGCGGTCCGTAGGGCCCCGAACTGGAAAAGTCCGGGACTCGACGGACTGCATCACTACTGGCTGAAGGGGTTCGTGGTGTGTCACGCTGTTCTCGCCCGACAGTTTCAAGAGGCTCTCGACCAAAAGTCGCTCCCGAGCCTCTTCACTACTGGGATCACTCATCTGGTTCCTAAAGACCGAGATTCCACAGACCCGAGCAAATACCGCCCCATAACGTGTCTACCTACCATATACAAGACACTGACATCCATTTTGAGCGCGAGAATCACTCGTCACCTGAACTCAAATCAGGTGATGTCGCGCGCTCAAAATGGATGTCGGGGCGGCGGTCGTGGAACCAAGGAACCACTCCTCATTGACGCGGTCATTGGCAAGGTGGTTAAACGCAACCGTCGGAACCTCTCCGCCGCCTGGATAGACTACAAAAAGGCATTCGACTCGGTGCCTCATACATGGCTGAAGAGGGTCCTCGAGCTGTACAAGGTTGACTGTACAGTTCGAGACTTCCTCGGGCAGTGTATGGGGCAGTGGAGTACGATCCTTTGTCATCTAGGCGAGCGGATGACGGCTGCGGAGAACCACATAAGGATAAGAAGGGGTATCTTCCAGGGCGATTGTCTGAGTCCAATCTGGTTCTGCCTCTCTCTGAACCCTCTTAGTACCTTACTAGAGGGTTCCGGGAGGGGATTTCAGCTTCGGAGAGGAGGTACAAAAGTGACCCACCTTTTCTATATGGATGATCTCAAGTTATTCGCCTCCAGTCGCTCTCATCTTATGGAATTGCTAAACATCACTTGTGATTTTAGCAATTCTATTAGAATGGAGCTGGGGACGGATAAGTGTGCGATCCTCCATGTCGAAAGGGGTAGGGTTGCTAACTCTGAGGGCATAGACTTATCTATGCCCATCAACATAAAGACCCTATCCGAGGCTGAAACATACCGATACCTGGGTATGTCACAGAACATAGGTATCGATGAGGCGGACATGAAACGGTCAGTTTGCGGTGTGTTTTATGCACGCTTGACAAAAGTGCTCAACAGTCTTTTGTCGGGCGTTAATAAGACACATGCATATAACGGTTGGATCATGCCTGTTCTCATGTATACCTTTGGCATGCTCAGGTGGACTCAGACCGAACTGAACGCTCTGGACAGAAAAGTCCGCACTATAATGACGTCCCACAGGATGCATCATCCGAGATCGTCAGTAATGAGGCTGTACTTGCCGCGGAAGCATGGTGGGCGCGGCTTTTTAAGCGCGCTTACCATGCATAATCGCGAAGTGTGCAGCCTCCGTAATTACTTTCTGACGAGAGCGGATGATCCATTCTATAGGGACGTTATTTCTTGTGATAAAGGACTTACCCCTCTATCCTTAGCCAACGAGCAATGGCAAGACCCGGCAGTACAGAGCATTTCCGACCGGGAGACCGTATGGAAGGAGAAGGAGCTCCACGGGAGGTTCTACAAGGCTCTACATGAGCCTTGCGTAGACACAGTCGCCTCCCTCCACTGGCTACGTTTCGGTGACCTCTTTGGGGAAACCGAGGGTTTTGTCTGTGCGATACAGGATCAGGTTATTAAGACCAACAATTATCGGAGATACATCCTAAAGGATGGCGCCGTCGACATCTGTCGAGCTTGTCGCCATCCCGGTGAGTCACTTAGGCATGTCATCTCCGGTTGTTCGGCGCTTTCTAACTCTGAGTATTTGCACAGACACAACCTAGTAGCCAGGATTCTACACCAGGAGCTCGCTCTGAAATACGGTCTCGTGGATCGGAAACTGCCATATTATAATTACTTGCCGGAAGCCGTGCTCGAAAATGACCGCGCCAGGCTCTACTGGGACCGGGCCATCATCACGGACAGGACTATTCTTGCGAATAAGCCTGATATTGTGCTGATGGACCGGGCACAGTCAAGGATATTTTTGGTCGACATTACCATTCCTTATGACGAGAACCTCGTGAAAGCCGAAACAGATAAGTTGACAAAATATCTGGACCTGGCTCACGAGGTGACCGACATGTGGGGTGGTCTGCCGGCCGAAATTATTCCTGTGGTCGTCTCTGCGAACGGGTTAATCCCAGTCAGCCTCTCGGGTCATCTGAGGCGACTGGGACTCCGTGACGGATCGCTCCAAGCTCAAATGCAGAAGGCGGTGCTCCTCGATACCGCCCGCATCGTCCGCCGGTTTCTTTCCCTTTCTCCCTAACCCTCGGCCGTTTGGTCTCCCCTGCCGAGGTCTTCCATCTGGTTGGGTTTTTATATATTTATGTAATTTTTATGTATTTATTTTATTTTATTGATATTTATGTAAGTTTATCATTTTCATTTACAATTATATATTTATACAGCCCAACCAGATGAGAAAACTATACAAATACCCCATAATAATTAATATGCTATACTTAAAAAAATAACAGCCGTCCAGAATGTCAAAAATTGCCGATTGATTTAATAATGTTTGCTAGCCATGGTTGGCTGACCAATTATCTATTTCTGCTGCTAGATTACATTACTCTGCTGACAAAAACATAAATACTATGCTTATGTAAGCCTAAATATTCATCTTCATCATCATCATCATTACAGCCCTTCACAACTCCACTGCTGAACATAGGCCTCCCCCAAGGAATACAATAAAGCAAGGTCCCGAGCCACCTGCATTCATCGACTTCCTGCATGTCTTACCAGGTCGTCACTCCATCTAGTGGGGCGTCGCCCTACACTTCGCCTACTGGTACGAGGCTGCCACTCGAGAACCTTATTTCCCCACCGGTTGTCGGTTCTTCGAGCTATATGGCCGGCCCATTGCCACTTCAGCTTACTAATCCGTTGGGCTATGTCGGTTACTCAGGTTCTTCTGGGGATCATTTCTAAGTTTATCACGCAGAGAAATCCCGAGCATAGCCCTCTCCATAGCTCACTGAGCGACCTTGAGTGTCCTCATACGACCAGCAGTGAAGTCCCACGTCTTAGAGATGACGTCCATAAGTCATCACTGGCAACACGTTGTACAATCTCGTTTTCAGGTTTTGAGCCTATACCTGAAGAGAAGATGTGTCGTAATTTCCTGAACGGTGCCCAGCCGAGTTGAATCCGTTGATTGACCTCTCGGTCGAAGTTGGACTTGCCTAGTCGGACTATTTGTCCCAGGTAAACATACTCGTCAACAACTTCGAGCTTAGTGCTCCCTACATGTTCTTTGTTTTGTCCATGTTAATCTTAAGACCTATCCGTTGGGAAACACTATTGAGGTCATTGAGCATGGTGCTTAAGTGCGATTCTGCCATAAGGACTATTGTTCGCGCCAAACACTTTCAAGGATTGACGCGAGAGGGCGCTCGGCGCGGTGCATTCATACCGGTTTGACTTTCGGTCGTGCGAAAAGCGCACAAGGGCAGGCAGTCGCCTGTCAGCTGTGCTTGGAACAGCATGCTGTCATTTTGTCGGGAACTCAGAATAATTAGGCGCGGCCAGTATACGGTCTACCATTGTGACACGCATTCCCGCTGGAGAGCTTCCCAGGGACTCATTGTGACTGACTCAGAATCTGCATAAGTGCATTCGGCAATATTAGCTAGTGCGGCCTCTGATATTCTAGAACTAACTGTTGCTACGCGAAACGGTAGTGACCTTTGATCCAGAAACTCCGTGTGCGTTTTGTGCGTTAACCTTATACCCAGCGATAGTTAGTGGCTTCTGTAATTTAGTTAATCGTACGATAGAGTTAATTGACTGTCATCGTGACGAAAGAGGAAAGTGACTGTGGACAACCTCGGAAGGCGAAGAAACCTCAAGTTGGAGCGGTGTCGACGCTCGGGGTGCTGCCGACAGCCAAGGTCTAGGTTCAATCACCATCAGTCATACCCAGATACACAACACATCACTTTATTTTCCTTGCACCACACAACCACATGCGACCTGACCGACTCCGGAGGGACCAGTCGCCTTGGATAGGTAAGTAAGCTACATCCAAATTCCTCCCGGTCGACTGGCCGTATTATAGAACGCTTCCCCGTATATTTTAGTGTAATTAGAGAGATTCCACGTGGCCACATTGAGGCCCGACCTACGTCTGCTTGGGAAGTCTTCAGCTCATGGGCCCCTGAGGATTTGACCCTTTAAGGGAGCAGCCGTAGGCCGTAACAACTATATCGTCGGCAAATCGAAGGTGAGTGATGTACTCGCCATCGACGTTAATACCGTATCCTTTCCAGTCCAGTAGTTTGAAACGTCTTCCAATGCATCGGTGAAGAGTTTCGATATATAACGTCACCCTGTCTTACACCTCTCTGCAGTTGGGTAGGTTTCGTACTCTGATTCTGTACCATATAGCCATCGTAGCCCTACTGTACAACCACTTCAGCAGTTCGATATACCGACAGTCAAGTTGGCGCCGCTGAAGGGACTGCAGCACCGCTCAAATTTTAACGGAATCAAAGGCTTTCTCATAGTCCACATACGCCAGACATAGTGGCAGATTGTACTCTTCTGCTATCTGTACAATTTGCCGAAGGGTGTGTATGTGGTCTATGGTACTAAAGCCTTTTCCAAAAACCGGCTCGTTCGGGAGGCTGGAAGTCGTCAAGTCTGCGTGTGAGACGATTTGTAATGACTCTCGAAAATTGCACGTAGTCGCGGCTCAGAAGGGTCTGTAGTTCTTCAAGAGAGCGTTATCGCCTTTCTTGAAGAACAAGACCACCGCACTCCTGCTCGACGCCTCCGGAGTAGTCCCACCATGGAGGACGGAATTAAAGAGCTTCTGAAGGACTTCAAGTACCGCTTTTCCAACCGCTTTCAGAAGCTCCGCTTACTAAAGAACATAATGAATATTACAAAGCGATAATTATCTTTTGTGGCTTCAAATCCAAATAAGTTGAATTTAATGACCACTTACATGTTTTTGCGGCTAGCAAAAACCCGTGCGAAAATAGCAAAATGCATTTTTTTCTTGACTTTAGACTTTAGGCTATTATTTATTCTGTGCTTTAGGTATATACATGCTTTGTACAGCACAAAGAAATACAAGTTTTTCTACCGTTTATTAAATTAGAAAAATGTATTTTTTTAATCTAGAATCTACAAAAGCCCATATCCTTCTGAGAGATTTATAAGCTGAGACTACAGGAAATGCCTGAAACTGAAAGATCTCATCACCTGTCAAGGGTGGCGTTTATGGCAAATCGTTCATATTCAGGAAGAGGCCTAAGTCCACCAGTCAACTATTCTCGAGCTGATGAAGATATCAAGTGTCTGTTTTAGTTCCAAATAATAAATTCTAGACCACAACCACACATCGAATAACCAAATTAATTTTGTTTCAGCTAGACAATGGGATCCGGAAGCAGCAGAGAAAATGCTACGTGATGTGAGCATACTTACCTTCTATATATTTTAGATTGTGTAACTTTAACACAAAGGGTATAATACTCGTATATTCCAAATAATCTTTAGCTCTGTACCAATAAATTTAAAATTTAATATACTTCATTTGAAACACAAGTTTTAACCTCTTATAAATTTGCAGTAATTTTTTAAGTGAGTGCAGTGTTCTGTTTTTGAAACCCTTTTTTATTTTATAGAAAGTCATTAACTTAAAACCTAAAGTATCTCGAAGAAAAATTGAAAGGTATATTACAAAAATGCTTTATTATAAATGTCGTTTCTTTTAAAGCTTCTAAATTTAAATCATGAAGGAGACTTCAATGATTTGGGACGGAACAAAAACGTATTACCTGAGCCGTGAGTAGAAACATCTCTAAATGCAATAAAATAACGTTGAGAATTATTGCAACGATCAAAGTGTTGCAAAAAACATAACATGCCTTTTCTAAACGCGCTATCAGTTATTATACGTGTTAGAGCCATGATGCAGCTATATTGTAGTTGTAGCCAGTGTGACCATGTGGCAGGTTCCTGCTATTTTGGCAGGATTGGCCTCTTATTTTAGCCTCTGGCATGATCGGTTGACGTTTTATAAAACCTGGCAGTATTTGGCAGTATTGGGGTATTAAAAATAGATTTCATTATGGCAACTTATAATGACGAAAATGGCAACCCTAGATACTTCACCAGCAAGTTGGGGATTTCCCATCATTTCTTGATTTCTCGTATTGTTTGTATCACATTCAATAAACAACTTTAAAAAATGTTGTGTATAAAGTTGATAATCTTAAAACGAATTAACACGAGTTGGTTATAATTTCAATCAAACATGAAAGAGATGTAATTTAGTTTGGTATCGCATTAGATTTCATAGTGATAACATCTTGTTAGTAATATTTAATTCGTAGACGATAGTAATTATAGGTGGCGGCGATGAAGCGAAAATATGAAAGTGCGTATAGACCAAAGTGGGAGCAAGATCTTTTACTTTCATCATGGATCTCCAAAGCTTAAGATGATCCAGACTGTGTTACTGCAAATTGGCACCCCGGCTGTCCATTTTAAAGGGGCATGCCGCTACTAATTAACATCAAAAAAATGAGTGGATTCCACATGCGAAAGAATATTCTCTCAAATTAATTTAATTAAGACAAAAATACGAAACAGATTATATATAAACAAACATTTACTGTCTGTCTTGTACGTTAAACAAGGCATTGGTGAGCATGGCGATTGCATTGCATTCAAACCAACGAAAGATATGTTTATTTTTAATTTAAAAAAAAATATAGCATTTACGAGTATATGTGTATTTTTACTTTTCTTAATTTAATACAATGGAAAATAAAGTTGGCTGTATTCAGGCATTTTGCACTACAGACTTTGGCAGGATTTGGCAGGTTTTTAACCAAAGTGAGGCAGGATCTGTATTTTAAAGATGGTCACCCTGGTTGTAGCACAAATCGGTCGGCTTGACCGGGGAAGGACCACCCTCTCACCAAATACCAGTCTAAAATAGCAGCTTAATATTGCTGAGGAAGGATCCGAGGACCCTTTTTATCACATCTCAGCTGTCGGGGTGACAACATTTTGATTCTTAATCAAGAAAAGATGTAGATATCTATACATATAATAAAACTGTAAATAGCAGATGTCTGTACATTTTATATTTTTGTAATAAAAGTGATTGAGGGGTACTAAAAATAAGTAATTAAATACATTTCTACCATTTTTAGAATTTTCTGTCTGTCTGTCTGTCTGTCTGTCTGTCTGTCTGTCTGTTTGTTTGTTAACGTATCACGTATAAAGTACTAATTTATATCATAAGAATTGTTAAGGAAATTATAAAGTGTATCTTCGTGTTACATTTAGTCTTTATTTCATTAAAATCAGTTCATTCCATCAAAAGTTACGATAAATATTCTGAAGTATGGGTAGGGAAGTATAGGTACGAATTTGCTCAACGGTGGCTTTGTTTGAGTCATCAAGTGCATTTTAAACTAATATCATATCATAAATCATAGTTAAATTATGTAAAAAAATTATATAATTACGTATATTTAAAACGCAGTAAACAAAAGTATTAAAGAACGTATTAAATATATTATACAAAAATATATTAACCTTATTAACTAAACCTGAAGCACAATAGTTAACCCATTTCTTCGATAGATGGTGGTGTTGTGAAAATGTAATGCAATTGCAATGTGGTTTTTACTGCTAATATATATGCTGCTAATCTTTATTATATTACTCGCTACCCTACTGCGTGTTGACAAACTCAATTTATTCTTTACCGCCGAGTACTCTATGTGGTAAATCAAATTTTAAAAGAGCTATTAACAATTGCGTTGGTTTTGGCGAGAGTCAAACTTTATTTTTTGCTTACTGTGCAGGCACTGATTTATAAGTTCTCTTGCGTTTTATATAATGTATCAATCGCGTCAATTAATCTCTTTTATTTTTAGAATTGATGTTAGCAGCGCCATCTCTCTTTAAATATATACATATAATAAAAATGATGATAACATGTTGTGTCTCTTTCTGTACATTGTATATATATATTTTGGTGGCTAAAATCATTATGGGGAACTGAAAATAATTAAATAAGAACATTTTATAATTTTTAGAATTGTCTGTCTGTCTATTTGTCTGTATTATATGAACGCATCACGTCTAAAGTAAACATCTTTTATTTTCAAAGAAATCGTTAAGAAAATCATAAGGCGTATCTTCGAGTTACATGTAATCTTTGTTTTATTAAAATTGGTTAATTCTATCGAAAGTAATGATTATTATTTTGAAATGTAGGTTCGAATTTGTTCAATGGCGCCATAAAATCTCAGAAATAGTAATAAAAAGATTTGTGTGTAAAAAAAACGTTCCATAATAATTAATATATTTATACTTAAAACACAAAAAGAGATTTAAAAAGGATGTTTTCTCACAAAAAGGACGTAATAGATGGAGTTGTACAAATTACAAACTTTTCTGAATTGCTGTGTTGAGATTTTTTGCCGATGAATCGTATTGAGACTTCTAAAGAAATTTGTATCCATCGAAGCCATACAACGGAATCCGACCAAAAATAAAAATTTTGCAACGAAATGTCGTGATATTGTATTTATAATATAATATGCAAAATCAGTACTGCCATTTTAGCGCTTAGGGAACTAGATTTAGCGCTTTTTTGGAATGTATAGCGCGCATTTCGAAATTTTAGCACCTAGCTTAATCCAGCGCTTTTTGGTGTATTTAGCACACATTTCAATATTTTAGCGACTAGCGGGTTATTAACTATTTTACTGCAGCACTCTTAGTCCACATTACCGATAATAATAATGACCTTTATTATTTTTTCCCACAAATAGTACATTGCAGTTTATCTTTTTCAAACATATTTTTTCCACAAAACAAAGAGCATGGGAGACGAGTCCAAACTAGGATACCCTGTGCTATGGATCTCCTGGCTTCCCCTTTAGGATGATCAACTTGATTTTTTTACCGACGACTATAAGCGGGGAAATCCCCTTTATTAAAGTTTTCGTTCATGGTTTTGGCAACGCATTTATTTTGCTTTACTCAGTTTCAGTCAGTTGCTTAGAGCACAGCTAAGTTAAAAGTTACTTAGAAGTTATAACACAAAGAAACTGTGTAGCAACCGCAATCAGATGCTGACATCTGAAACTAAGTTGCGAAATACATTGCACTTTAAAACAATTAATGACATTTTTATTGTTCGTACAGTACTACCTACTGTTGACAGCAATTGCCATAATTATGAGTCGATGTCCTGCGAAGTATTGATACATTAAAAAAATATTGCCAGAAAAAAAACTTAATGTTGTTTTCTTTATTATGATTATATAAAAAAACACAAACTTTGTTTGTAGTTAATTTAGCGCGAAATCTAGGGCTTTTTAAAGCGCTGTTTTCATGAAATCTAGCGCTTTTTGTGTTGTCCTAGAGCTGAATGAGTTTTTTTTTAATCTGGCAGCACTGCCCAAAAACCCTCTATTAAGAAGTAACTTTCCTTTCAGTTTTAAGCGCGTTCAGTTCCCAGTTACAGTGAACGTGTGTTATGCGATGACCGTAAATAAAGCGCAAGGTCAAACTTTACGCGTTGTAGAGTGTACCTAAGTACTGACTGTTTTGCACATGGCCAACTCTATGTTGCTTTTTCCCGCGTTAGTAGCCCCCGTAACCTTTTTGTGTACACCCCGGCTAAGCCTACTTCTAACGTCGTTTACACAGAAGCTCTATCATAAACGACTTAGAACTTTGATGATAATGATTTATTTAGTTACCACTTATTGATACAGTAATGAAATAAATCGTTTAATATTCTCTTACCTAAACGACAAATTCTTTATGTAAAACCTGTATACGCGAGCTACGCCGCGGGCACAGCTAGTCCACACTATTCATTTACTATAAGGTGGACTGTGTACTCGTTTGTCACATTTATTCTATAAAAAAATATACTTGTACCACATTATCATAAGCATTACGCTTGAAATCTTTTTAAATGTTTTTAGTCGCTGATTTGGCGAGAGAAGTGGGGTGTTGATACTACACTTGAGACGTGGCAGGCGCCAGAACCGCTTGAGAAGTATTTCCCTAGCGGCACGACGGGTTTTGATAAGGAGGGATCACCAAGTAAGTATTGTTGTTAGAACTGGTTATAGGTGGTTGAGCTTAGAAGTCCTTCTAGGTAGGTACCCTTTTTAACACTCTTACATATTTTTGCCTGTCAGCAAAAAAGAGTGTCATTCGTGCACAGTTGTGTTCCGGTCTTAAGTTTATAAAGAGCCAGTGTAATTATCATTAGTAATGACACCGCATCGTAAAGGAGCCTACAGTTTCTATGTTTGATGTTGGTTGTCTGCAGTAGCCACTTAGCATCAGGTGGTTTGTTAATTCGTACAGTGACCTATGTTTATATTGCCACCTCTTGCCACCTATAAAAACAAAACATGTCCATATGAAACTTGGTTGACAGCAGATCGAAAGCGTTTCCGTGGTCCTACCAATATGCGGCTAAGACGGAACACCATCGGGTTTTATTCGTTAGAAGTTCGATGTAACCCGGCCTTGTACCCGCGAGCGGGTATGCGTAGGCATTTCTCCATATTATATTTTCTGCATTTTATATACGTGGTAGAGCCATGCTGCAGCTATATTAGTAGTACTCAGTTGTAGTACGAATGTGTCGGCTTAACCGGGGAAGGACCACGCTCTCACAGAATACCAGCGTAAAATAATAGCTTAACGCTGCTGTGTTTCGTATGGTGAGTGTAGAGAACCAGAGACCCCTTTTACTAGAAACGAGGCATTCCATCTTGGTCCTCACGGGTAACAACGCATCTGCATTTTGAGTTATAGTCGAGGATAGATGAAGATGTCTATGGGCCACAGCAACTATCCACCACCACCATCATCATCACGTTCACCATCAGGTGGACTGTGTGCTCGTTTGTTATACTTATCCTATAAACAAATTTAAAAAAAAGTTACAAACATTAACGTGCATAGTTCAAAGTTGTGTATCGCCAGCAACGCAAAGTCGGGAATTTGTATTTGGAAAAATCCTAAATTAGGGGCTTTTTAGGTGCTAATTAGGTGCCAAGTTTAAAAATTAGGTGCTCTAAAATTTTCACCGCAACGAACCATTGAAATTTGCGTTGCTGGCAAAACGTATCGCTGGCAACGCAATGAAGTTATTAGATATACGATAAATATCAATAGCAAGGAATTAAGTGCTAATTAGGTGCTGCAAGTATACGCAATAACAAGGCGCCCCTAATAAAAATAAAGTCGTAATTCAGAACACAGCAGATGCAAAATTTAGATTTCCTGAAAATCAAAATAGAATCAAAATTGCTTTCAGAAAATTTCCAAATTAGGGGCTTTTTGGTGCTAATTAGGTACCAAGTTTAAAAATTAATTGCACCAAAATTTTCACCGCAACTAACCATTGAAATTTGCTTTGCTGGCAAAACGTATCGCTGGCAACGCAATGAAGTTATTAGATATACGATAAATATTAATAGCAAGGAATTAAGTGCTAATTAAGTGCTGCAAGTATAGGCAATGACAGGGCGCCCCAGATAAAAATAAAATCGTTATTGAGAAAATTATTCAGCAAAGCAAATGCAAAAATCAGGTCTTTGTCTTTGTGCCATCTAGCGTCTATCGCACTTACCACCTTTAGAGTCCATCGATTTTGATTCGATAAAATGACTAGAATTATAGAACGTTGTAGATAGCGCTATTTATTACAAAGAAATTTACTGGAAAAAATATCCTTTCGATTTAGTACACTAAAAAAAATTGTAACATATATATGCTATATAATTAAACTTCTATCGTTCTATCGTATATATTATATCGCACTTGCACGGTTGAAAGTTATATTAAATCAATCGTTTGCTGGAAATCTTTTGAAGTGTTATTTTTAGTAAATCCTACGATGAAATATAAATGATATTTTTAATTCATATTTGTAACAAATAAATGTAATAAAATGTAAAATAATTTTTAAACTAGGTAACGATTAAAAAATTGTTTTAAATTGTTTTATAATTAATAGAATCAGGCGTTACTTTGCGGAAATCCATTATATAAAAGCTTTTAGAAAAATTTACTTCGCAAATATCCGCGTTATAAAATAAAATTATGTGTCTTATCTAGTATGAAGAGCACCTACCCGCCCTCCCTCAATTGCGTGCTCTATCCCAGTCACCACTAATCCCAGCACCGCTACTCCCAACACCACTACACTAGGCCGCTTAGCGGTTGGTCACCGTAGAGTCTATATCACCTGAGGATGCCTCGTGTAGAGGCGAAACACGTGTCGTATTATCGTCAGTGGTGTGTCTTGCCTAGTGTAGTGGTGTTGGGAGTAGCGGTGCTGGCGTTATTGGTGACGGGGATAGTGCACGCAATTGAGGGAGGGCGGGAGGTACCTATAAAACATCTTTGGTATTGATGATTCAACTTTACAAAAGTATTTTGCCTTTCGTGGATCGTGGCACATGTTTATGTGATACGAAAACTGTCAATTAATTATTTATTTAATAATATATCAAGATTTCAAATATAAACCCTAAACCCTAACACACAGTTTACGTTGAAATTCAGACCACTATGTAATCAATTTAGGTAAGAACGGTAAAATAACGTAGGTATTAATTTGTCGTATTTGTTTATTTTTGAACAAAAACTTTAATATAAATTGGTCGGTAAGCTATGAAATCGTGTATTGTTATGAATGAATTGGACAAACATGATAATTTTATTCAATATCATTATTTATTTTATTTATTTAATAAAATTGTTTATTTTTAAATAAATAAAAAATAAAATGAATCAATTTTTTATGTTTACGCTATCTAGCGTAATTTATACCTACCACCTTGAGAGTCCATCGGTTTGGGTTCGATAAAATAATTAAAACTATAGAAAGATGTAGAAGGCGATATTTATTATGAAGCAATTTTACTGGAAAGAAAATATTATTTTGATTTCGTACACTAAAGTTTAGGCTTCACATGTCTAAAAATAAGAATTGTAACATTTATTTGGTTGAAAATTATATTAAATAATATTATAGATTATATTAAATCTGAAAAACAAAAAATGCCTTTCATACCTTATAATAAGGTAATGGTGGTTAAAAATCCGATAATTTCCAGAATATTACCTCTATACTACCTGTACATGCGACCTCAATAATCTTTCAGCACCTAATTAGCACTTAATTTTTAGGCACTGATAACATCGATCACTAATTTTTTTATTAGTGATCGATGACTGATAAAGAACAAAAAATGCCGTTCATACATTATGGTAAGGTAATGGTGGTTGTGGACCCCATAATTCCCAGAATAATATCTTAATCTATATCGGGTTTCGATAATCGCTCAGCATTTAATTAGCACTTAATTCCTTGCTATTAATATTTATCGTATATCTAGTAACGTCATTGCGTTGCTAGCTTGTTAGCGAGGCGTTATGCCAGCAACGCAAATTTCAATGGTTAGTTGCGGTGAAAATTTTGGTGCAATTAATTTTTAAACTTGGTACCTAATTAGCACCAAAAAGCCCCTAATTTGGAAATTTTCTGAAAGCAATTTTGATTCTATTTTGATTTTCAGGAAATCTAAATTTTGCATCTGCTGTGTTCTGAATTACGACTTTATTTTTATTAGGGGCGCCTTGTTATTGCGTATACTTGCAGCACCTAATTAGCACTTAATTCCTTGCTATTGATATTTATCGTATATCTAATAACTTCATTGCGTTGCCAGCGATACGTTTTGCCAGCAACGCAAATTTCAATGGTTCGTTGCGGTGAAAATTTTAGAGCACCTAATTTTTAAACTTGGCACCTAATTAGCACCTAAAAAGCCCCTAATTTTGGATTTTTCCAAATGCAAATTCCCGACTTTGCGTTGCTGGCGAGACACAACTATAGTTCAAAGCATAATAGGTATATTCCATTTAATAACTTATTAAGTTCAAATCAAGATACGCTGCATTGATTATTATTTAATATTTTTTTTTAACTTTTCAGTTATAATAGTTCCATTCGTGGGCTTGGACGCGTGGGGCATGTTGCACTCCGTCACGAGGACAGATGTCATCCGCATGATTCTGCGCCATCTTGAAAATTACCTCGCTAGTGCGAGGAAACAGTCTTTAGAACACGGACCCGCCGCACTCAAGGTAAAATTCTTGTCCTGTTCTTTTATACTATACTTACATAATATTAACCAACAAATAAGAGCCACGGTACCTCGTGAGATAAGAACGCACAAATACACCACCAAACCGAATTCCCCGCCGACATTATTCAATTTTTTTTTATGTAATTTAAAGTACTCAATTACCATGTACTTAGCAGTATTTTTTTTTTACTAAATTGGAGTGACAAACTTACAGTTCACCTGAACAATTATGTTATTGGCTATTGCAGCTGATGGGGACTTGCAAACACCTTTAACCAGCCCTTATCGATAGATATTTTTGAAAAATAATGAATAAAATAAAAAGAAATGTAAAAACAAATAGATGTACTCCGTGGGTCTTTATTAGTAAAGATTTGTTAATATTTTTTCTCAGCCGTTACCAAATACTTATATACTCGTAATTCCCAATAACAATAAAAATAATTCATCATCATTTTATCATTACAGCCCTTCACAAGTCCACTGCTGAATATGCCTATATTCAGCAGTGGACTTGTGAAGGGTGTGACTTGTGACTCCCCCATGGAATGCCACAAAGCACGGTCCCGAACAACCTGAATTTCTTACTGCATGTCTTACTAGGTCATCACTATAACTAGTGGGCGGGACACCCTACACCTCGCCTACCGGTACGAGGCTGTCACTCGAGAACCTTTCTTCCCCATCGGTTGTCGGTTCTTCGAGCTATATGGCCGGCCCAAAGCCACTTCAGCTTACTAATCTTTTGGGCTATGTTGGTTACTCTTGTCAGTGCGGATATAAGTTGCGGTTTTTAATTTTATCACGCGGAGAAAACCCGAGCATAGCTCTCTCCAAGCTTTCTCTCCAAGCTTACAGCCAGTAGTGAAGGGCCACGTCTCAGATCTATAGGTCATCACTGGCAATACGCACTGGTTGTACAATCTTGTTATGCCTTACGCCCGAACGTTGCCCAGCCGAGTTGCATCCGTCGATTAACCTCTCGGTCGTAAATTGAACTTACCTGGTCGGACTATTTGTCCCAGGTAAACATACTCGACAACAACTTCGAGCTTAGTGCTCGAACAACTCCCGGTATAAGTATGACATGGATGTTACACATGACTTTTGTTTTTTCCATGTTCATCTTAAGAATTCTCCGTTGGGAAACACTATTTGAGGTCATTGAGCATAGTGCTTAGGTCCTACAGCGATCCTGCCAAAGGACTATATCGACGGCAAATCGAAGGTGGGTGATTTACTCGCCATTTACATTAATATCGTATCATTTCCAGTCGAGTAGCTTGAAAACGTCTTCCAATGCAGCGGTGAAGAGTTTCGGGGTTATTACGTCAGCCTGTCTTACACCTCTCCGCAGTTGAATTAGTTTCGTACTCTGGCTCTGTTCTCTGATAGCCATCGTAACCTACTGTACAATCACTTCAGCACTTCGATGTACCGAGAGTCAACTTGGCAATGCTGAAGGGACTGTAGCACCGCCCAAATTTCGATGGGATCAAAGGCTTTCTCATAGTCCACATACCCAAGACAAAGTGACAGATTTTACTATTCGGTCTTCTGTACAATTTGCTGAAGGGTATGCATGTGGTCTATGGTGCTAAAGCTTGTTCGGGAGGCTGAAAGTCGTCGAAACAAGACCACCGCACTTCTCCTCCACGCCTCCGGAGTAGTGCCACCATGGATGGTCGAATTAAAGAGCTTCTTAAAGATTTTAAGTACCAGTTTTTCATCCGCTTTCAGAAGACCACTGTAATTCCATCCCCGCCCGGGATTTGCCGTTTTTAAGGTGCTGCAGAGTCATTCTAATCTCGCTCAGACTGACGGATTTCATCGAAATAGTGTCGGACAAGACTTGCTCTTGGATCGTTACTCACACTTGCGTGTGGTTCCAACAATGACGTGTACAGCTGCCCATAGAACCTCTCATTCACTCAAAATCCCAGTTCTTCTTCAAAACGAGCTGTATTAAAGTTGCGAGAATCCCGCCCCATGTATTTGGAAATCTGTCTGTTCAGTTGCCTGTATGCTGTCAAATCTACTGAAGACTGCAGCTTCATCTCCCGTCAAACAGCCATTAGATTAAGAGTGTGATCGGAAAGTTTTGTGTTCTTCTGCGACGGATCTTGCAGAACTTAGCTCCAACCGCATGGACAGTTTCCACAAGCTTTTCATTCATATCGTTCACTTCATAGTAGACTTTTAGGTACTGAAAACGATTTTGTAACTCGAGCTGCAAGGTTTCGGGGCTTTGGATTGGAGTACGAGGGAGACAGAACGTTGACTTCATTAGACGTGACTTCTCCAACTTAACGTTTAGGTTCAGTGTGTCTTTCACTATTGGGTGATCGCTGCCAGTTTGAGGGTAACCTCGCCATCACTGAGACATCACTGAGCAGTTGTCGTCTGGTCATCATAATGAAGTAAATTTCATTTTTTGTCGAACCGTCGGGGCGCGACTAGATCCACTTTCTGTGGGGCCGCTTCTGGAAAAAAGAGTTCATCATAATGAGGCCCTTTTCCTCCATAAAGTCGGCCAGCTGCTGGCCCCTTGGGTCCCGTTGCCCTCTCCCGGATTTCCTACTTTCGGCTCACCGTTCTCTTTTGTGCCCAGTTTTGGGTAGAAGACTCCCATTAACACCGTATATTGGGTTTTTGAGGAATGCATGGCTCTAGAGATATCCTCATACATTTCCTCCACCTCCTCATCGGGATGTGCTGAGGTTGGTGCGTAAACCTATATGACCTTCAGCGAATACCGTTTGGTGATTCTGAGTATAAGGTATGTAACGTTGACAGACTCCCAATCTTTACAACGTTGTTATCGAGAGACTTGTGGACAATAAATGCGACAGCTCTTTGGGACAGATGGTCGCCCTTCCGGAGGTGATAGAATAAGTCGAAAATTACCGTGTCTTTACCATCTCTTCGGACCTCAGATAATCCTATAATATCCTAGCGCAACTTGTCTATTTCTTCTTCCAGCTCCAGGATCTTCTCATCAGTCCTTAGGGTGCGGGCGTTATATGTTGCTAGGTCGAGTCATCTTAGGTGGCAACCGAACCTCCACCGGAGATTCTTAGCACCCACTGTCCTGCCGTTACCATGGTCACCACCATAAAAATAATTGGACAGATATAATTAACATCGCAGCTTTATTATCATCTTATTCTCATAGAAATTAGAACCTTATAACCTGCAAGCATACAACATATGCATGAAATGACCGACAGACGTTCATATATAGTCTAACTTTTACTTTCTGACTCTATAATGTCTGTTCACTTTTTGTCTTTATTAATTATAAGGCATTCATTTGCTTTCTTTTTATTTTTCCATAGAATGACGATTTTGATTATTCTACATTGTGGATAATAATAATACTATGCGCGCACGATAAAAATAATACCTTCAAATTGATATTTTACTTTAGAAAAACGTTGTGTAGAATGTGCGAAATATTATACCATAAATTCCTATCTTTTTATAAAATAATTCTAAAGTCTAAAGGATATTAACTATAGTAAGTCGGTATATTCTGTTCGCTTAGATATGGTAGCTAGATTAGGTATGTCGCGCCGCCTTGGCACGTGCCGCATCTTGTCAAAGGCACCGTGCCGTAGTGAAAGTTTCTTTGCTATCTAACTTGTATTTATTATTTATGTTCGTGTTTCATTACAATAACCATAAGAATAAAATAGTATTCCATTTTATTTAAAAAGACATTAAAAAATAATAAAATAAAAGCAAAATAATAATTGCATTCAGTGTACAGACACTATCTTAACCCTTTACTTGGCAGATATTTTTTTTCGTATTTTATTGTTTTTCTTTCAATCAGGGTGTTTTATTAGGTAAATAAAAGGCGAATAAAATATTTAAAAAAAACTTTTGCTTTTAGATATTTTTTTATTAAACGTATCCTGCAGTGCACACTGCCAGTTAAGCAACAATTTACATTATAAAAAGTACGTATCCTGACAGATACAGTGCCAGGTTTACATTGTAACAAAAATAGATTCTAATTGTAATTAATCAACAACTGTTTATCATTTTTATTATCAAATTAACAGTCTTATAATTATGAGATCACGTTATATAATCAAACATTACAAATTATTTGCTTTATAACACTATTTGGTATGATATGCATGAAAACAGTTGCCCTTGTGGCGGCGCTGTCGTCGCACCACAAGCGAAACACATGAAGCCTAAATCGCGCTAACAAAGTTCCGAAGTTAAAGCAGTATATATAGAATAGCTCCGAACTACCACTTGGAGCGTTGGCCGCTCCCCGGGTAGAACAGAACACCTTGCTCGGCGGGAGATCTCCCCTATTCCTTCCACCGGCCACAGTGGTGACCATCCGACATGATATGAACACGCAACCAACAAACCTTCGGAAACTACACCTTCAAACCTTCATCATCCTCAAGTACCCCATTCATTCGCTCCCGAGCAGATATTGTCTGCAGTATTCACATTCTGCAAAGCCATCTAGCTTTACAAAGGTTCATCGCAGCACTGAAATAATAATGCTTCCTGTTCCTTCAAGCTACTCTCTGTGCTACAGTGTTCGGGCACGGCTCAGAGTCTTACTGCTCACCTCTGCTTCACGGCACTCTCGCAGATTACTTGACTTCTTTTCGACTCACTGCAGACTACAAGGCAATCCCTGGCACTTGCTCCGGCTCATCGTTCTCACCGGCATCACTTGCAAGTGCGTAGTATGGCATGCATTACACACTGGCATATTGTTCGCACCGGCGTCACTTGCCCTCACGCACACAGCATGCATTCCCCACCGGCATTAAGGACGCACCGGCAATCGAACTGCACTATCGACCTCCGGTCTGCGCAGGGGGGTGACGTGGCGGCACTGTCGTCGCGCCACAAGCGAAACACATAGAAACCTAAAACGCGCTAACAAAGTTCCGAAGTTAAAGCAGTATATATAGAATAGCTCCGAACTACCACTTGGAGCATTGGCCGCTCCCCGGGCAGAACACCTTGCCCGGCGGGAGATCTCCCCTATTTCTTCCACCGGCTACACGCTCTTCTACCAAACAAAGTCTTATTTTAAATATTTGACAATGAATTCGGGTTTGGCCTTTTGTGCAATTTTTGCACCTGCCTTTAGTTTCAAATACTGGCATATGCCCAACTTGGTCATATTGTACAGCGTCAATGGGTCTCTCTGCAGCTGGTTTTTTTTATTAGGGTTACATTATTGTTAAGTTTATTGGCAGAAACGCCTCTGTCAAATAAAAGTAGGCTTCGATAAATTTCATATCTGAATTCTTTCAATGGCATTAATTTTGACTTATTTGATGCACCTCGCCGGTACATAAGCCAAGCGTTATTAACGCATATACCAAGGATTTGCGAAAACAGAGGTAGATACCAGCGATGAATCATCACTGCTACCTACGTCTGATCTAGCTCCAGATTTTGGAACTAGGGCGAAAATTCTGCGGGCGCTGTTTGTTTTGTTGTTGAAGCTTTTGTTGTGAAATCTGGAAACAAACATTTATTATTGTACAGCTTATCTTAAATAAGTATGAGTATATCGAGTATACCAAAGCATACATAATTATAAAAAAATATATATCTATCTACTACAGTTACTGTACAAGTGTTACACAAATTCCTTTTTTTATTTATTTAAATATGTTAATTAGGAATATAAAAAATCAGCAATTATCTTTTTTTGTATAGATATTGCATATCAAAATTTTATTTTAAATGTGTACACATTCACTTATAAACTAGCAGTGTGTCTTCATAGATACATGTCAAAATAGCACTAGTTTTTTGCGTAGCTCGCAGTGTATACTCAGATATACATATGGACAAACTGAGTTGTAAAATCGAATATATAAAGTTTTGGTATCAAAAAACTACATCCAGGGATAATGTAATATTACTGCATTTACTTTCACTTCAAATAATAATCAAAAACGCATAAAAAAGTAGCAAAATACATAATACTTACCGGCTTGTGCGTAGACGCCTGCTTACGATCCGCCATCTTACGGGCTACTGACAGTTCAGTGTTACCAGCAACAAAACTATAAATCCTACTAAATATCATAATTTATAGACTAACTTATTACAAGAAAATCTATGTAAAAATTTGTTTAGTTTTCCTACAATATTTTTTTAAAGAGCAGTGTATCCACAGATGCACTCTGCCAAGTTAAGGGTAGGCGGCAACTCACTTGCCTGCAGCAGGGTCAATCTAGAATGTAGTATTAGTAGTAGGAGTAGTAGTAGTAGTGAACAGACTATATTATAATTTTTTTTTATAGGATCGGGTGACAAACGAGCACACAGTCCACCTGATGGTAAGTGGTTACTGTGACCCATACACATCTACATCTATCCTCAATAAAGACTCAAGATGCAGATGCGTTGTCACCCGTGAGGACTAAGATGGAATGCCTCTTTGCCAGTCTCCGGTTCTCTACACTCACCATACGAAACACAGCAGCGTTAAGCTGCTATTTTACGCTGGTATTCTGTGAGAGCGTGGTCCTTCCCCGGTCTAGCTGACCCATTCGTGCAACAACCATAATATAGCTGCAGCATAGCTCTACCACGTACAAATATATTAAATACTAAATAATTACAGGCTATCTGGCATTCCATATTAGTCCTCAGTGGTTACAACGCATTTGTTGCCTTCTTTGTATGAAGATGCTGCAGGTATCCTTGAACCGCAGTAAGCCACTTACTGAGCAGTAAGTTCGTTTATTACTTCAGTTTTATAAAAAAAAGTTAAATCAGTCCACCAACACAGAAACTTGCGGTTGAGTTATTTATGAATAAGCTGAACTATGCATAAGTCCATTGAAATTATTCCATCAAATGTTTTCCAGCCAAAGGCCTTTTAACCAGAACTCTTGTTTAAAATGTATCAAGATTCTTCAGCATTTTTTTACCTACCACAGGTTACAGTACTGTTCGACCTTGAAGGCTTCAACATCCGGCAATATGCATGGAAACCGGCCGCGGAGATGGTGTTCACGCTGCTTCAGATATACGAAGCCAATTATCCGGAAATATTGAAGACCTGTTTCATTGTTAACGGTTAGCGTATTTGTCTATATATTTTGTAGATATTTTGATGTTAATTCAATATATGCTACTCAGAAATATAGGTTCCAACTCATCATATTTATATATAAAAATACGTGTCACATTGTTTGTCCGCGATGAACTCCTAAACCACTGAACTGTTTTCAATGAAATTTTGCACACTCTGTGCAGTTTGGTCCAACTTGAGAGATAGGATAGTTTTTATCCTGATAAGTGACACTCAATATTTTTTTATTACGAATTTAAGGATTTTTTATATGAAGGGTCGTCGAAAAGGGCAGAACAACGTCTGCCTGGCCACCTAGTTTCTGTATAAGTTTTATAAAAGTGTTATTGTTAGAATCATTTCCTTAAATAATCCTGTTATTAGGAATGTCCGCAGTTATTTTATTGATGAATTAACGTTATTAATATGGCAGAAAGATCTCATGCCAAAACATGGCGGGGTAATCATCTCGTTTACGCAGACGTAAAATAAACAGACTGGCGACAGTACTACTATCGCCAACCCCCTTGTCACGCGTGGTGATTAAAACAAATTCTGCCTTAAACGGTAGAGTTCCATGTGCATAGTCAAAGTCGAAATATTTTTATTCAAAATTGGCTTTTACAAAGCACTTTCACACCTGCTTTAAATCTATATAATATTGAAATAATAAAGTATATGCGGTACTAATAACAAAAAACAATTTTAAAAATTTTTGTCTGTCTGTCTGTCTGCCTGTTTGTTACGGCAAATCTCTGAAATGGCTAAACCGATTTTGACGGGACTTTCACTGGCAGATAGCTGATGTTATAATGAGTAACTTAGGATGCTTTTGTTTAGAAAGAGAATAAGGATTCCGCGCAAAAAAAAATTAAAACCCATGAAATCGTAATAAATTCCACACGGGCGAAGTCGCGGGGGACAGCTAGTTGTAATATAAAAATGAATTTAAAATAATTTACATTGCCATGTAACATTTCCTTATGTCACTCAGACTTAAAATTAATTTAATTTCAGCCCCTAAAGTGTTCTCATTAGCCTTCTCCGTGGTAAAGAAATTCATGCATGAATACACAATATCCAAGATCAAAATATACGGCACCGACACGAAGAAATGGCAGCCCCAAGTACTGGAACTGATCGACAGGGACCAGCTACCCGCGCACTATGGTGGCACTTTGGTGGACGCAAATGGCGATCCTAGATGCAGCCTCATGGTAATAATGTTTTCAGCGTGAAAGTGATACAGTAAAATACCAACTTCCCTACGTCTAACCTTCGTAAACCCTTAGCCATTTTTTTATAAAGAATAAGGGTGACAAACGAGCACACCGCCCTCCTGACGGTAAGTGGTTGCTGTAGCCCATAGACATCTACATCTGGCTTCGTTTGCGAATTAAAATGCAGATGCGTTGTCACACGTGAGGACTATGATAGGATGCCTCTTTTCCAGTATAAAGTGTGTCCGGTTCCGCCATTAACAAAACTGGATTAACAAAGCAAAAAGGAACTGCCTATGTGCCTTACGGTGCTTTTCAGGCTTGCGGTGTGATTTAGCAAGTTAAAAAAAAACAAATAAAATAAGTAATGCCATTAATATTATTGAATTGGACGTGATCGATGAGTTGGTATGTGTAAGCATTACCTATAGAGGCACCCGTAGACGCGAGCGTAGTCGTTGCTGACTTTCAAGACTACCGAGGCGTCGAGAACAGATGTCCTCTCTGGCGTATACGCAAACTCCAGCCTCAGGCACAAAGGTGTTCTAATTTGTACCCCGTATAGGAGAGATGTATTGACCAAAATTTAACAAAATAAGTAATGCCATTAATATTAAATGAGATAAAGGATAGCTTATATTAATTTAATCCGACTCTGCCCGGTGATGTGTTGTGCTCTGTTCTGTCCACGGTTAAACATAAGCCACACCCAAGGACATAACACAGCCTTGGGTCATTTTCAATCGGCATCCATCGACATGCGAAAAGCATGTCTTACCAGATCGTTATTAAATCTAGTTGCGGCCATCCTACGCTTGGCTTACCGGTACGAGGCTGAAACATGAGAACCTTTCTTCTCCAACGGTTGTGGATTCTTCAAGCTATTTGGCTGGTCCATTGCCACTTCAGTTTTATGGTCCGATAATCTGTACTGGTTACTCTAGTTCTACTGCGGATGTCTTGTTTACGTATTCTATCAACGACCAAGAAAAAAAGACCGAGCATATTCCTCTCTCTATAGCCCTCTGAGCGTCTGTATGCTTCCCCACATGGCAAACAATAAAGAACCAATAAATTTTAAAGATTAGCTTCTGAAAAATTTTGTGACGAATTGAGTACCTACATGTTTGCAAAGCAGGGGAAACAATCAGGCAACAACTGTCTCTTACGCAAAAAAAATTATATAATTTTATTAAAATAAAAAAATATTAAATAAAATAATTACATTATATATTTCAGGTGAAACCGGGTGGTAAAGTTCCTAAAAGTTATTATTCAAAGAACGCGCCAAGCGAACAAAGCAAGGAGTATACGCGGGTCACTGTCAAGACTGGAGAAAAGCATTCTGTTGATTTACTGTGTGTGGAAGGCGAAAGTGTTTTAAAGTACGATGATACATACCTTTTTTTACATTTTTAATATATTTCAATATAGTTTATTCTTACTTGTACAGTTGGTAACTAACTATGGCCGGTTTTCCAATCGTTAGTTATCAATCAAATGAATTATAACCTCAAATACGAAAGTTAAACAAATGAACTATTCATACGATTGTAATTTTAAATTTGTTTATGTTGTATTTTATCCTATATAACTTTTATCTGCTGATCGAAAAATCTAATACTGGCTCTCTATACCCTAATTTTTGTTTATAGGATAGGGTGACAAACGAGCACAGTCCACCTGATGGTAAGTGGTTGCTGCGACCCATAGACATCTACATCTATTCTCAATAAAGAATCAAAATGCAGATGCGTTGTCACCCGTGAGGACTAAGATGGAATGCCTCGTTTCCAGTAAAAAGGGTCTGCGTTTCTCTACACTCACCATACGAAACACAGCAGCGTTAAGCTGCTATTTTACGCTGGTATTCTGTGAGATCGTGGTCCTTCATCAGTCGAGCCAACCCATTCGTGCTGCAACCATAATATAGCTGCAGCATGGCTCTGCCACGTAATAAAATGTAATTTAATTTTTAACTGGGTGGTAAGGACACCTTTTCTGTCTAAGAATCTGGGTGGTAGCTACATCTTTCTTACCTATTTCTGCCGCCAAATAGCAGTACTTGCGCTGCTGTGCTTCGGTCTGAGGGTATGGAGGGCCAGAATAACGAGGGCATCCACGACTTTTTCTGCCACCAGGGCGGCGCCACTCAAAAGTGAGGTATAATATTTGTCAGATTTCATAGCGGGGAAGTTAATTTGTTCGGAAAGTGTAAATATTAATGTTTCTTTCTGTATTATTAGCTATATTTTATATTAATAAAATAAAAAATAAAGAAACCAAACCACAGATATTCATAAAAGCAGAAAAATTTTAAAAAGTTAAAAATGTGCAAAAAATTGAAAAGCAAACCACTGAGGCATTGTTTTGTATATTAATGTAATACTCTAGAAACTGATAAACTTTTATTAAAAACTAACTTATCAATTAAAAATGTCATTGTGTAACAAAAAAGTTTACCTCAACGTCAATTAGCGACTTCTGGTGAGTAGAAAATTATTAGCCCTCATTACTGGCTGTGAAGCATTGTATTTTATTCCTCAGAGGCGACATCGCATCTATGTTGGAAGTTGGCTGCACTTGTCCATGGACTGCAATAGCCATTAACCATCAGGTGGATTTTTCGTACATTCGACACTTTAGTTTAAAAAAATATGTAGTACGTTGTAATCAATATTAAGTGTCACCTAATTTAAGTGGTATCGCTCTTTTTCTGCATAATCAATCTGTGTAGGTACCACCCTATACCTACTCGTATATATGCCGCCTAGCAGCACTGCTTACACTGCTACGGTCCAGTCTGAAACGTACATTTACAGTACATTTTTTTAATAACTGGCTTTACGGCTCTGGGTTCTTGCCCTTCTGAGCCTGAAGTTACAATTTATAATTAACCTTCATAGTACACTGCTTCACAATATGTTGATGCGTCACATTATGCAGCCATTGGGAGATTTTGAGGGCAACTTGAACCAGCAGACAGCTGCCAGTTGGCGATGGTATCTCAAGGCGCCTAAGCAAACATACACCTTATCTTGAGAATCGCATCACCATCAGTTGCAGCACTTGTTTGACCGTTTTCACTAATAGTTCACATGCTCAGACACTTAATACACAAAATCGCACCACTTTTACATAGCAAAATCCACTTCAAACCATTATTTAAACAATAATACAGAAGCAGCAAAACCGCCGCAGGTCAAGTTCCCCCCCCCCCCCCCCCAAAACCTCCCGACATATAGAGATCCAGTATAATTACAGACTGTGAAGAATTCCATCTTACTCTCGGGAGATGAGAGAGATGAGAGTTGACAAATCAACTATAGCGTAACTTTATTAAACATTATATAGACAGCTCTTTTATCACTCTGTCAATATTAAAAGAGATTCTTCGTTCTTTTTCTCCATAAATTCTTAAAAATCATGTTTTGGAAATGAAATCTTCCATTGTAGGGATACTGTATTTTATAATTGTACGAATAAAATAAGCCGTGGTAGCACAGAAGCTGAGTGCTCGCAGTAAATTTCACAGAACGCCAGCAATGGGTTCGATCCCCGCCAACACCAATGGAATTGTTAATTGCCATTTTAAGTGCTGATTTACCAAGAGATCGGCGGTGAAGAAAAACATTGTGAGGTAACCTACAAGTTTGAAAAATTAAAAAACTATTTTGATGACATCTCAAGTTCGGGACAGAGCGGAAGACATTTCCTAATCCTAAACCCCCTCGAAATGAGAGTGCCCAGCAGTGGGGCGTATATGGACTGTAACTTTAATTTACTTTACCATATAATAACAGTTCGATACTTTTTTATTTCAGGTGGGAATTCGGTGTTGACAGTCACGACATAAAGTTCTTAATAAAACGTAAAGATGAAGACGGCAACGAGACGATCGTTCACGGTCCCAAAAAGGTCGCGGAGGGTCCCGTCGACGTCGGGGTCTTGCCTGTAACGGGACCAGCGACTTGTAAGTTAGCAAAATTTATTTATTTTGTAGTGGGTCTATGACCTAAGACGCTTTTTTGTGTAGGACTCCATTTCAATTTATTTATTTATTATTAGGTTGGCATTATTGACTGTATCATCTGACGTTTTTTGTTGCCAAGTCAGCGCATACACTTCTTTGTTCTGGTTTAAAGGTTACAAGAGCCAGGTTAATTGCAAGGTTGCAGGTTGTGTGGCACTTCATCTTAGTCCTCAAACCATGACATGACAACTTATTAAAGTCCACTGCTGAACATAGGCCTCCCCCATAGATTGCCTGATAAGGGGGATATTTGCCGTAGTTGCCAGGCTTGGCATGCGGATTGGCAACCGCAGTTTATTTTCTATTTTTAGCCGTTATTAGGAAAACGTCGTTTACCATCTCCTGATTGGTTTCCTTCTGTCGTCTCTTACGATACCGACGGGATGAACCCGTCACTACACGGCCTCAAAACTGACATCGAATCTACATACAGGCATCTTTTCGAAGTGAATTGCTGGTAACCACCTACCATCATATTTTAAAACTATTGAAACATCGAGTTTATGTAATCATTAATTTATATAAATCATAATGATAGCTAGCGGCTAGCGTTATGGCGTAAAATTCACAGTATCACAGATTACTTAATAGTTGACAGTATGCTAGCAACACGAGTTCGATTCCCGCCGGCATCAATAAAATTGTTAATTGTAATATTAAGTGTTGATTTGCCACGAACGATTGATTTAGAAACCATTCTTGTTTTTCAGAAGAGGGCCTTAAAAGTCATTTATAACCTAAAACCGATATAATCTCTCAAAATTAATAAGCATTAACTTCTGACTCGCAATATATTTCCGAAAATGTAATGTATGTTCGCTAAAACCAAAGCAGTTTGTTAAACGTGACATACTCTTTACACCATGAACAAATACAAGCTAATGATATCAGTTCTCAACACCAGAGAGACGGTCCTAAAATATACAATATAGATTATTACGCTATTACGAAGTCTATTCAATAAAAAATACACTGTATAAAAAAGGTTACTAATCTATAATATTAAACGCAACCTTTTATTTATTTGTGAACGCATTCCCGAAAACGGATATAACGGTTTACTGGTGCGAAAAAATCTATATAAAATATTTCTAAGATGGAAAGTGCGCCAACATGCACTGTAGCAGCGCGGCGGATTAATTGCCCAGCCAGCAATTACGGGACGTTTAAATTATAGGCTTTAACTTTATTTTCACTTTTATAAATTCTTAGAATATATGACCAGTTTTATATTTCTGATTTTATTTCGTCATCTTACAATATTATATTTTTATTTAGGTAATAAACAAAATAAAAAAACGTCTTTGATTTTTTTTGTGTGGCCGACCCACACAATTGTTTCGGGTCGTCCACTTGAAGTCGACGGCGCTACAAGCGATGCTTATTAATAGATGCTAATTGTTGGCGGTGGATTGTTCAGGTTTGAAATGCACCTATAAAAAAATCACCCAAAAACTTCGCAATATCACGCATTAGCATATTGTGAAGAACATTCTGCCTTAATTGGCGAATTGTAATATTCTTTCCTTTGTACATAGATTTCATTTAAAAAAAGCTTTCCTCTGTCAACAGATTCCGTAATATTCGACAATAAAAGCGCGTATTTACGCAACAAAAAGGTGTTTTATGACGTTCTAATCTCCATCCCAGAAAAGGACCTCAACTTAACCGACGTGCCCGAAGACGTTCCGGAAGCCACTGAACATCTGGCCACGACGAAAACCACTGGATTGTGAATTATTTTAAAAGTGTATTTAATTAGAAACTTACAAAGTAGGTTATCAAGGTTGGATATCAACGTTTGCTATTTTGAGCGCTATATTGTAAAATTGGGACTGTGTCCTTCATACGAAGGAATAAATAAGTACGGAAATACCTATTAAGCTTATAACCTGTGCTTGTAACTATAATGTTTTTAATTCAATGACATTGTTAGATAGATAGTTAAAAAGCATTTAAATATACTGTACAGATTGATTTTATTTCCTATTTCGCTCAATGTGGAAATAAATACGCAGTAAATCTCTTTGACATTTTTATAATACTTAATTAATTTTAATACACATATTTAGAAACTGTTTGTAAAATTATTTTTTAAACGTAAAAAGATAGTTGGCAATCTAAAAGTTTATGATAACAACAGCTGAGGTTGTTCTAAAAGCCATTGATTTTAATAACCTTCAGGCACATTCACGTTAACCGATAACAACACCTTAGACCATCGACAATACCTAACCAATATTTTTTTTGCAATTTTTTTTTCATTCATTCTATTATATAGGTATTATACATACATACGTATTCATACCTATTAAAATGTTCCTATCTGTCATTATGCAGCTATTATATAACTATCTAACTATGTATTCCGTAACAAAAAGACTTATCAGAAGTGGTTAAGGGTGATACTAGTAATAATAGCGTTAATTAACGTTAGATATTTTTAAATAGAAAAATATTGATTATAGATTACTATAAATAGGCGTTTTTGTTTTAATCCAACAAGAAGGTTTAATGGAAAACTTGTAGATATATAAACTTCAGGAAATTCTTTGCGGCATAAATATTTTATGCAAATAAGTATGTCTGTATGTAATCAAGTATTTTTTTGTTATATTTGATTAGAAGTATTGATAAATCATTTAAATTTATTGCGCTTAGTATATTAGGTACGTAGAAGCAAATACTAATACGGTGGTTAGTGAAACAATTATATTATATTATATACTAGCTAACCAGGCAGACGTTGTTGTGCCCTTTCCGAACTACCATTTGCTTTTCCAAAAAGAAATTCCAGAAATTAGCAATAAAAAAAAATTATGACCCTCAATTTTTTTTATTAAAATTATTATCGGGATAAAAACTATCCTATCTCTCAAGTTGGACCAAACTGCACACAGTGTGCAAATTTTCATTGAAATCAGTTCAGTAGTTTAGGAGTTCATCGCGGACAAACAATGTGACACGTAATTTTTATATATAAAGATTAGTACTTTTAATAATGTTTTGTAATTATTGATATATGTTGACTAGCCAAATTAAGTTATAAGATATATGAATAATTAATTTCATTTTATGCTCATTATTAATTTACGTATAATAAACGCTATAATTATATACAAAATGTCGCTGGAAAAAATGCATGATGTAGGTATCTATATTACAAATTATTTTACTCATTATAGTGAGTATGTAAGATTTGCTCAACCTATTTTATATATTTTTTGTAATAATTAAATTATACATACTTAATAACTATTGTTGAAAATATTTAAAGCATATTCTGTGATAAATCTTTGTTTGTTATATAAATATAATGTGCAATCTCATGCACAAATAAACCTGTATTTTTGTGTCAGAGCGAAATAAATTACCAAGTACTTACTAAAGTTAAGTTTATGTTTGCATGCTTAGGATACTACAGTATTTAGTGGTCAAAAGCTACAGAATTACATTAAAAATATAAATGCTCTTTGTGAAGATTATTTTACTGCATATGTAATGCTATGTATTTACCTAAATACGTAATACATTATCGCGATATGGTATGGTTTCACCCACGGAGCATATACAAATTGTATTTGCTTCGTGGTTTCACCACGATTCACGAACAAGATTAATTATCTATTAAATTTATTAATCTGTGATAAGCTCAATTTAAGTGCAACTAGGTAAAAAGTTATGTAAATATTGAACCTTTAAACTTTTTTAAATATTTAAAATAGTATATTTTTATTTCAATCAAGAAATAAAAATATTCTACTATTAATTGTTTCATGTAAAAAAACTAGTTGCCATTACATTAACGACATTATATACTCCTACGCTAATATAAATGAGAAAATATTTTAACTGTAAATAAAGATTCTAATTTTTTTTTAGGGGTTAATTTTAAATTTGCTGATGGCTACAGTTTTGTACCTTGCTTTGATTAAAATGAATAAAACTTAATTTTTGTTTGATTAATTGATATAGCCGTGGTAGCTCAGAGAGCCGTGGTAGCTCAGATGGTTAGCGCTCACTGTAAACTTCATAGTACCTACTCGAGCAACCCGGGTTCGATCCCCGCCGGCACCAACGAAATTGTTAATTGCAATTTTAAGTACTGATTTACCACGTGCTCGGCGGTGAAGGAAAACATCGTGAGGAAACCTGCATGTCTGAGAAATAAGAAAAAAATATTTCGAAGACTTGTGAAGTTCGCCAACACGCATTGGGGCAGCGCGGCGGACATTTCCTTGCCCTAAAACCCTCTCAGAAATGAGAGGAGGCCTGTGCCCAGCAGTGGGACGTAAATAGGCTGCAACTATACTTTTTACTCTTTTTTAAATTGATATGTCTATTTAACTGAAATAAATATTATTAATAAGGACGGGACCACATAACTTATTTTAAGACTAGCTTTTTACCGGCGGCTTCGCTCGCGTTGGTTTCAATTTAGAAATACCATTAATAATACTCCAATTAAAGTTAAAATTTCATAAATGTAGTTCTATTCACGATGAACGTGCGAGAGGAACTATATTCATGAACTGGAGTAAAAATATAGAGATGATGGGCAGAAGCATCTTTCTGATTATAGCTTAAAATAATAAAAACATGCAGTTGGCAACCCGCCTGGCTAGCGTGGCAAGAACGGCTAATATCCAACTTATTTCGTAATTTATGGAGGGAATCGAAATGATGAACGGGAGTAGAAATATATTAGCAATGTAGAGGTGGCGAAATAGAAACCAATACCACATTTCGTCTCGTGGGTGTCGTAAGAGGCGACAGAAGGGAAACTGAAACAGGAGGTGGATGGCAGCATCTTCCTGATAACAATGAAGAGTAATAAATAGCTGAGATTGCCAACCCACTTGCCAAGCGTACTACGACTACTACTGCAAATATCCGGCCTATTTGACAAACAATGGGAAAAGCCTATGATCAGCAGTGGATAGGCCTATTAAAAGTAAAACAGTAGCAGCCTACATACATACAGTTTTAGGACAAAAAAGCATTGATTGAGTTGTCTCCAACGCGGGTTGACCGACTTCACATAAGTATACCTAAAATGGTTTCCGAAATATTTTTTTTAACTTCTCAAATATGCAGGTTTCCTTACGATATTTGCCTACACCTCTGAGAACGTGGTAAATCGAAACTTCAAATTGCAATTATAGTATGAGTGTGCGGATCGAAATTGGGTTCCTTACGTAGGTACTATGAAATTTACGTTTGGATCGGCTCGATTACCGGATAACTTTCAAGATTATATCAATGCAGTTCTACGCATAGTTAAAATAAAAATAGACATGCATTTAAAATTTGCTGTCTTTGATATTTATAGTACTTTTTCGCAAGAGCCTGTTCATTTACTAATGTCAGCTACGAAACCGGGACTGTCACAAAAATCTCAATAGGTAGGTATGTCTGAAAATATGAAAGCTATCTTAATATATGACAAACTGTTTTATAAGTCTCAATGAAAGTAAAAAAGTAAAGAAGCAGCTTACATACGTCTTACGACTGTGCACAGGCCTGCTAATCTACTTAGACATCAAGGTTTTATCGCCAAGTTATTCATTAAAACTTCACTGAGCACGTGGAAAATAAGCAAATAAAATTTCCTTACCAGTTTCATTAGTCCTCATCGAACACTCTTGTTCCTGTGCTTTGAAATCTTATGGCGTGCCACACGGCTTTCGTATTTGCTAATAAAAATAATATAATAAAACTCATAAAAGCTGAAAAGAAGCTTTTGTACTATTGTGGACCCCATCTACCTAGTAATTACTCATTCAAACTATTCCATCATTTAGAGATGAAAATCTTACAGTCCACTTAATCTTCAATTACTTACATTGGACTTGATACAAAAATAAGTTGGTGAAATATTGCGATGATGAGAGACACCCAACATACCTATTCAACTGCAGACATTTTTGTACACAGTAAAAGTGACAACTATGATAAATCATCCCGACACCGGTTTGGATATTTTAAGTTTGACAATGTTTGATGCTGGAACAATAAGTATTCAATTAGAATTTTCTTTAATTTGATGTTACTTATTATTTGTTTATTTAGTAGTATGTAGATGGCGATATTATGAGATTAAAACTATGAAAACAAAAACTGTAGTCACTAGTAGGTACTCAGCGACAATAATATATAAGTTGTAGTGTACGTTAAACATCGATAGACTATCGATGGTATCGATAGTAAATGGCTATCGATACTATCGATAGTTTTTAAAACTATCGATCGATTGTTTACTGGGGTACTACTTTTACATCCCTAGAGTCGAGGTATGCATGTATGTAAGTTATTCCCCGGCTATAGTGACAAAGGTATAGACATTGAGATTGTTCTCTATGGTAGGGGAATTACCGTGCGTATATCATACATTCAAAGGCGTAGACATTGAGATTCTTCTCTATGGTTGGGGAATTACCGTGCGTATATCATTCATTTACAAGACAAAAGTCAGTCAGTCAGTTTTTTATTGTGGATGTTTGAAGTTGAGTGGAGTAACAAACAATTTAGAATTAAACAATAAAACATGAGTAGTAAGTCACGTGCGTGGGATTACTTCAAAAAGACTAATGAAAAGTTTGCCAAGTGTTCTTTGTGTAAAAGAGAGTTTAAACTAAGTGGAAATACTACGAACTTGATCGATCATATGAAGAGAAAACATAATGAGGTATGGATGTGGTCATCCACTGTTTCTGTTACTCAAGACGTAGATACCACTGAGCAAAATGAGAAAATGGGCCCAAGCCCTAAAAAGAGAAATACGCTAAAAAATTATTTTGATAGAAGTAGTAAATATCCAGATGGGAAAACAAAGCAAAATTTGGATAACAAATACGTGCGCATGATTGCTGTTGACATGGAACCTTTGCGAAAAGGAGAACATGAAGGATTTCGGGATTTTGTAAATGCTCTCGATAGTAGATATGAAATTCCTGATACAACAATATTGAAAAAGAAATTACTGCCGGAATATTATGAAAACGTGAAACAGAAGCTCGTCATAGCATTATCGAAAGCAGAACATGTTAGTGTGACTACTGACTTATGGACATCAATTGCAAATGAAGGCATCCTTTCAGTTACTTGTCATTTCTTTCACAACGAAAAATTAATTGCACCATTATTGGAAGTTGTGAAGATGGAAGGAAGTCATAACGCAGAAAATATAGCCAGTGTAAGTATTTTTAAATTTTATTGCCTTGATACCTACCAATTCAGTGTTTCTTTATAATCAGACATAAACAATATTATTATTGTTTTCAGATGTTGGATGCTACTCTCTCAAAATGGGATATCAGGTCAAAATGTGAAGCAATAACGACTGATAACGCTCAAACAATGATTAACGCCGCAGCCAAACTGCATATACGACATATACCCTGCTTTGCGCACACACTAAACCTGATGGTAAGTGATTTGTTTGCTGTGACCTGCTTAGACCAGATTCTGAAAAAATGTAAATCGATTGTGACTTTTTTCAAGATGAGTACTCTAGCTAGCGATAAATTACGGGCTATTCAACGTGAATTAAATAAACCAGAACTGAAAGTGATCCAGGAAGTACCCACCCGCTGGAACAGTGCATACCACATGCTGCAAAGAATTGTTACAATGAAGACAGAATTAACTCTCGCACTTAATGAATGTAATCGGGCTCCACCAGGAGTCAATGCTGACGAATACCTAATTATTCAAGAAACAATTCAAATTCTGGCACCTTTCGATCTAGCTACAACAAAAATTTCCGGAGAAAGCTATATAACATTGTCACTGATAATACCATTGATTCGTGGAATAAAAACGAAATTAGTAGAAGTTGAATCTCAAATTGTTACTGAAAGCGGAAACAAAATATTACTCTGCATGAAGGGATCAGTTGACAAAAGACTAAGTCCCTATGAAAGCAGGACACCTGTTGTACTTGCTACAATATTGGACCCCAGATTTAAGAAGAAGGGGTTCAAAACAAGTGACGACGAGAAGCGAGCTGGTCAGTGGCTGGAAAAGGCCTATGCTAGCCATTTAACTAAAGAACGCTTGGCTGTAGAAGAAACGCAACCAACACCATCCACGTCTTCAGGAACATCTAATGACCTGTTGGGATTTCTAGACGTTCCGGACGTATCGACCCCGTTGAGTAACTCATTGGTAGATGTCAGGCAATATCTCGAGAAGCCAGTAATTGACAGAAAAGAGTGTCCTATAACATACTGGAAATACACCAACAATAAATTGAAGGAATTAGCGATGCTCTATCTCTGTATTCCAGCATCTTCTGTGCCTTCAGAACGAATATTTTCGAAGGCCGGACAAATTTTAACCGAACGCAGAAATAGGTTAAAAGAAAAAAGATTAAATGAATTGTTGTTTATAAAACAAAATAGCTGTTATTTTAATGATTGATTTCTAACTATAATAATGATGAATACTGATTTTTGATTGTTTGATTGTTATTTCGAATATATATATATCAAAATAAAATTCTATGTTTCGTATAACATTTGTTATTTTATTGATGTTACGCTAATCCTACAAGTTTTTAAACTATCGATAGACTATCGATACTATCGATAGTTTTTAGTTAAACTATCGATACTATCGGATTACCAAACTATCGATGTTTAACGTACAGTAATAAGTTGAGGTACGACTGGGGTGACCCAATCACACAACAAAACCGCCACGCCAACATTTATATAATACATAAATTAACTAGGCAAGTGATGTAGATTCTATTAAAAATTCTGCTTCTGTCAAAAATATCCTATCAGAGCGCTGCTGCTGTGTAATGAAATTATTTTACGATATAAACAATATAAAGAAATACCAGATGGAAGTTAGCGTAGAACATTATTTTTTTTAACTAAAATATATGCCAATTAATTACTCCATAAATGCTCCAGCAGAATCCGAAATTGCTCCACCTCTATTGTTATTAGTTAATTTATAATTAATTTAAAAAAAATTAAGTATCAAAAATTTAATTTTGCTATAAAGTATAAAATATCTACTTTTTTAAATTAAACTGTATGCCAATTAATTGCTCCAGCAGAATCCGAAATTGCTCTACCTCTATTGTAATTAGTTAATTGATAATTAATTTTTAAAAAATTTAAGTATCGACAATTCAATTTTGCTATAAAACAGAAAATATATAGTTTTTAAAATTAAACTGTATGCCAATTATTTGCTCCTTAAATGCTCCAGCTGAATCCGAAATTGCTATACCTCTATTGCTATTAGTTAATTTATAATTAATTTTAAAAATATTAACCAGAAGGAAGTTAGCGTAGAACTTTATTTTTTTAAATTAAATTGTATGCCAATTAATTGCTCCTTAAATGCTCCAGCTGAATCCGAAATTGCTACACCTCTATTGTTATTAGTTAATTTATAATGAATTTTTAAGAAAAAATAAGTATCGCAAATTTAATTTTGCTATAAAACAGAAAATATTCACTTATTAAAATTAAACTGTACGCCAATTATTTGCTCCTTAAATGCTCCAGCTGAATCCGTAACTGCTATACCTCTATTGCTATTAGTTAATTAATAATTAATTTAAAAAAAATTATTGTCGGAAATTTAATTTTGCTATAAAACATAAAATATGTACTTTATAAAATTAAGTTATATGTCAATTAATTGCTCCTTAAATGCTTCAGTAGAATCCGTAATTTTTCTGTCTTTTGCTATTAGTTAATTTATAATTAATTTTGAGATAGAGTGATCCTATTTGAGTAATTCTATCGAACAAAAATTGATTGCCTCTCAAGGTGGTACGTAGAATGGATACCTAATGGCATAAAACCAAAAAAAAGTATTGATGGGTGAGTTTTGAAATTATGGATTCTTATGAATGGATTAGACAACTATGTTAATAATATTTTTGTGTTTGTGCCATCTAGTCTTTTCTACGTATCACCTTGAGAGTCAATCAATTTTTGTTCGATAAAATGACTTTAACTATAGAATGTTACTACATTCTATTGATGATGGCGCTGTTTCTCAAATAGAATCACTCTTCTGAAAATTAATTATAAATTAACTAATATCAGTAGACAAAAAAATTACGGATTCTACTGGAGCATTTAAGGAGCAATTATTTGTAATACAGTTTAATTTTATAAAGTACATATTTTATGTTTTATAGCTAAATTAAATTTTCGACAATTATTTTCTTTTAAAATTAGTTTTAAATTAACTAATAGCAATAGAGGTAGAGCAATTTTGAATTCTGCTGGAGCATTTAAGGACGACTTAATTGGCACACAGTTTAATTTTAAAATGTAAGTATTTTATGTTTTATAGCAAAATTAAATTTTCGATACTTAAATGTTTTAAAAATTATTTATAAACTAATTAATAACAATAGAGCTAAAATAATTTCGGATTCTGCTGGAGCATTTAAGGGGCAATCAATTGGCATACATATTAATTTTTATGTATTGATATTTTATGTTTTATAGCAAAATTAAACTTTCCATACTTAACTTTTTTAAATTAATTATAAATTAACTAATAACAATAGAGGTGGAGCAATTACGAATTCTGCTGGTACATTTAAGGGGCAATTGATTGGCATACGGTTTCATTTTAAAAATTAGATATTTTATTTTTTATAGCAAAATTAAATTTTCGATACTTAATCATTTTAAAAATAATTTTAAATTAACTAATAACAATAGAGGTGGAGCAAATTCAGATTCTGCTGGAGCATTTAAGGAGCAATTAATTGGCATACAGTTTAATTTTAAAAACTATATATTTTCTGTTTTATAGCAAAATAAAATTTTCATACTTAATTTTTTTTAATTAATTATAAATTAACTAATAACAATAGAGGTGGAGCAAATTCGGATTCTGCTGGAGCATTTAAGGAGCAAATAATTGGCATACAGTTTAATTTTAAAACGTAGATATTTTATGTTTTATAGCAAAATTTAATTGTCGATACTTTTTTTTTTAAATTAATTATAAATTAACTAATTACAATACAGGTAGAGCAAATTCGGATTCTGCTGGAGCATTTAAGGAGCAATTAATTGGCATACAGTTTAATTTAAAAAAGTAGATATTTTATACTTTATAGCAAAATAAAATTTTTGATACTTAATTTTTTTTTAATTAATTATAAATTAACTAATAACAATACAGGTGGAGCAATTTCGGATTCTGCTGGAGCATTTAAGGAGCAATTAATTGGCATACAGTTTAGTTAAAAAAAAGAATGTTCTACGCTAACTTCCATCTGGTTAAAGAAATAGCAATATTGTGTTTAGTTGTTAATATTTCGTGCCAGTGCAGGAAGTCGATGGATGCAGGTGGCTCAGGACCGTGCTTTGTGGCATTCCTTGGAGGAGGCCTATGTTCAGCAGTGGACTTTTGAAAGGCTGTAATGATGATGATGATGATTTCGTGCCATGTATGCAATCAACAAAATGTTGATTGCATACATGGCACGAATTTTTTGTTTGATCCGGTACCTAGTTATAATGTTTAAGCAATACAGATAGACTTATACACATAGATACAGATAGATTATAGTGCCAAAGTGTATGCGCTATGCCCAAGCACAAGTTAGTGAACTCTGTATTTCGTCACTCTCATAGTCCGATGGGACAATCCTACACGACCGGAGGCACCAGCGTGAACAACGTCAACTTCCTAACTCCGGGCTGCCACTGAGAATTTCTTGAGAGAAAAACTTAATAACTGATTGTTTTGGCTCGGCCCGAAATTCGAACGCTGGACCTCACGATGAGTAGCCGCGTTTACGGCCAACGAGACAGTCCGTATCGTATCGTAAATAATAAATATATACGGCAAGCACAAATTCATCCTGATGCTTGAGCAATTAAGGCGGGCATTGGACCTTTATTTACTTTAGTATAATCAGTGTACAAAAAATGGAAAAAGTTATGTTGCTGCCATATTATATTACTATGCAAGAATTCAGATTCAGGCTTCATAAGTTAATAGGGAGATACACTGACAATAAAAATATACCAACCTTTAAGATATTCTTATTGGATGATGCTCTTAATGTCACAGTATGTGAGAAATATGTGTAAAATGTTCAAATTTAATTCTAGCGATGAAATGCATCTATACAAATAAATAAAATTGAAGTGTCTGTTTGTAATGTCAAAATTACATATTTTTATTAAATGCATATGAAAGTGCATACGGTACTAATAACAAAAATACATTTTTTAAAGTTTTTGTCTGTCTGTCTGTCTGTTTGTTCCGGCTAATATCCGAAACGGCTGGACCGATTTTTACGGGATTTTCACTGGCAGATAGCTCATATATAAATAGGCAGATAGATAGAATACCTCATATTCGCAGTTGCCATGCCTGCCTCAAACAAAACACATTTTATTATGAAATATTTTTTTATTAATACTCATATATAACATTTATGCTTAAGTTTATAAAAATATTAAAGGCCAAAAAATTTAGACTTATGACATTATTTTGGTAAAGACAAGTACTATATTATTTATACAAAAGTAGTTTGTAGTATAAGTGCTTTTCTTTTAGAATACCTTCAGGAAATGCATGTTATGAACTAGAACTTTTCCACATGCTGGATTAAAAATTATAAAATAAAATGAATAACGTATAGAAGTTATAAGTTACAATTGTTGTAGTTATCTAGTCAAATAACCATTGTAAGTAATATATTTTTATAAACATCATTAAAAATGCTCTTAATTATAAAAAAAAAAGTGTTCAGTTTCAATCATCCTCTTCAAACAACATCTGTAAAAGTTCTCTCTTAGTGCACTGGGTGCCTTCAAGCCTTTGAACTCCATTCCATTTTATTAAGGTGGGGATGACCATAAGTCTTGTACGACTATCCGTTCTGAAAGGACATGCTTTGTCTTTCCAGCTGAAATGAAATATGACATATTAGTAAAATCTACAACTTAAGAGACTAAGTAATGGAAATTACTGTGTGTGAATTGTGAAATTTATTCAATCATGCTAATTGATACATTTTTTGTATTTTTTATTAATTTGTGAGATCAAATTACCTACTTCTTAGAAAATTCCATGAAATGGTCATATATTACATGGAATTTTTAAAATAAAGCTCAGCCTCTGCTCTTTGCAACGCATGAAATGAAATTAATTCATCGTGAACAAATAAGATAATATCAAATATTATAAAAAATGTGTCACAGCTTGTTGTATGACCAAATATCTCTGTGGAATAAAGAAAATAGAACGTCTATATAAAACTGGAATGGTCATTTGGCCAAAATCACTAAAATTTTTGCTAAATATTAAGTGCTAATTTAGTGCTGCAAAATTAAATTTCACGACAAAATAGTTTAGTCAAAAATTAGAAAACTGCTAGCTTTTAATTAAGCTAGCAGTGTTCTACCACCTAAACTGATAACCGCTTAATACAGCACCAAATAGATGCATCACTAATTTAGTTCTCATTTAGTGCTGCAAAATTAAATTTCACGATAAAATAGTTTAATCAAAAATTAGAAAACTGCTAGCTTTTAATTAAGCTAACAGTGTTCTACCACCTAAACTGATTACCGCTTAATACAGCACCAAATAGATGCATCAATAATTTAGTTCTCATTTAGTACTGTGGCGATAACCCACTCTGATATCAATATTTTCCTTACATACTCTGCTAAAGATATCAAAGTAATAATATTAAAAAGAAAAAAAAAATATTTTCCCAAACTTTTTTGTGTATATCGACAGCACTAAATGAGCACTAAATTATTGATGCTTCCATTTGGCGCTGTATAACGCGGTTATCGCTTTAGGAGGTAGAACACTGCTAGCTTAATTAAAAGCTAGCAGTTTTTTAATTTTTGATCAAGTTATTTTGGCGTGAAATTTAATTTTGCAGCTCTAAATAAGCACTTAATATTTAGCAAAAATTTTAGTGATTTTGCCCAAATGACCATTCCAGCTTTATAGACGTGAAAATAGAAATATTGATAAGGAATTAGGGCACTTATTTCACATTGCATATTTTTTTATCTTTGATATATTAATCACTATTCTATATTATACCTATAACATGAACAATTTTTAAAATTAGAATTAATACACTTACTATTCCCTATCACCAACATCAACATAAGCAAAGATAACAGTTTTCTTCAACTCATTTAAAAATGCCTTGATAATAGGTTCAGCTGAAAAAAATTAAACATTATTAATAAATAACAATATTCAAAATATTTTTTGTTATTATAACTGCTATAACACACACCAGATTTATCTGTAGTGTACACAATTACAAACAGTTCTCAAGGTGTAAGTAAAAAATTATAGCATACGAAGAATTCAATACCCATTTGACAAAAAATACACCAGCTTCTTCCGTTTGCTTTCTTGCTCCCAGTAAAAAGGAAATATACATTTGGTCCCTTTGGCAACAATTTATTGACAAAACTTAAAAATTCACTATAATTATTCAGGTTTTTAATTTTTACTTTTGAATTAACCATATTGTTATTAACAGGTAGGTATGACAAAATATTTACACATGTAAATAATTTTATTTTTTATTTTGTGTCACATTGCAAATATAAAAAGTTCTTATAGAATATACAAGTAATAATTCATAAATCTACTAACTCAATTTATTATTTTTGATGTCAGTAAAGAAACGAAACCGAAAAAGAAACCTTCATCATTGCAGCCCTTCAACGTCCACTGTTGAACACAGTCCTCCCCAAAGGAATGCCACAAAGCATGGTCCTGTGCCACCGGCATCTATCGACTTCCTGCATGTGTTACAAGGTCGTTACTCCATCTAGTGGGAGAAAGCCCTACACTTCGCCTGGCGGCACGAGGCTGCCACTCGAGAACCTTTCTTCTCCATCGGTTGTCGGTTCTTCGAGCTATATGGTATCACTCTGGTTCTACTGTGGATATCTAAGTTTATCACGCAGTAAAACACCGAGAATAGCCCTCTCCACTGAGCGACCTTGTACTTCCTCATACAACCAGCAGTGAAGGACCATGTTTCAGATCCGATATACCAACAGTCAACTTGACACCACTGAAGGAAGTATCGCACCGCCCAAATTTCAACGGAATCAAAGGCTTTCTTATGATCCACATACGCAAGGCAAAGTGGCATTTTACACTTCGGTCGTCTGTTCAATTTGCCGAAGGATATGTATGTGGTCTATGGTACTATAGTCTTTTCAGAAATCGGCTTGTTCGGGAGGCTGTAAGTCTCCGAGTCTGCGTGCGAGACGATTCGTAATCTAAATTCTAAACTCACAAGAACAGCAGTAGATGCAGCTCAGAAGGAAAATCGGTCTGTAGTTCTTCAAGAGAGTGTTGTCGCTTTTCTTGAAAAACATACCACCGAACTTCTGCTCCACGCCTCCGGAGTAGTCCCATCATGTAGGACGGAATTAAAGAGCTTCTGAAGGACTTTAAGTACCGGCTTTCCACCAGTTTTCAGAAGCTCCGCTGTAATTCCATCCTCACCCAGGCCTTGCCGTTTTTAAGGTGCTGGAGAGCCAATCTAATATCGTCCAGACTGACGTCTGGGATATCATCAGAGTAGTGTCGGATAAGACATGCTCTTGGATCATTACTCACACTTGCACGTGGCTCCAAAGATGATATCTACAGCTGTCCATAGAACCTCTCAATTTCACTCAAAATCTTAGGTATTCCAAAAACGATGCTGCCAAATTCGGTCTTCATCTTTGACAGTTGGATCTTTCTGGCAGACAGATCTCAGGCAAGGACTTTGGAGCCCTGGTTCCGCTCGATCACTTCTTCAATACGAGCTGTATTGAAGTTGCGTAAGTCCCGCCACATACATTTGGAGATGTCTGTTCAGTTGCCTGTATGCTGTCAAATCTGCTGAAGACTGCAGCTGCCAGGGACATGTATGCCGTGGCAATACAATATACACAGGAGGGAAGAGTCGTCGTCGCCTCGGTCTACATGACGGAGGAAGACACTCCTCCCCCTCATGACCTCGTCAGGCTGGTGAATTTCTGCGAGGACCAGACTAGAGGTTGTGATCGGGACGAATTCCAACGCGCATCATCCCTTCTGGGGAATAGAAAAACCGAATGAACGAGCTAAGGTGTTAGTTGAATATCTATTTAGCTTTAACCTAACCATTTTAAACACAGGTTCTGAAACAACTTTCAAAACCAAACGTTGGCGCACAATAATCGACCTCACACTTGTAACAGAAGGAGCAGTTAAACTAATTACGGGATAGCATGTGTCGAAAGAGGCCTCATGCTCAGACCATGATGCTTCGTACTACAGGTCGATATTCTCGCTACACACACCATGGAGAAATGCCCGCAAGACAGATAAAACAAAATACCTTAATAGGCTGAGGTCTCGGTCGCGGGTTTTGAGGGGACAAATACTATTGGAGATCAGTCGCTCCTAGAAGAACAGGTAGCAGCTGTTACTAAAGCCATGATGGATAGCTACCATGAATCATATCCAGAAATCACTCCACCAAGACATGCTGAGGTAAAGCAACCGTGGTAGGGTAAAGAACTAGATAGAAAACGTAAGAAGGTAAGAAAAGCGCTAAATAGGGCCATGAATACCTCAATGGATGAAGACTGGCTACTATACAAGAAAGCTAAGTCCGAATACAAAAAATGTATCAGGTATCGACGTTCAACAGGGTGGCGTGAATTCTGTGGTAACATAGAAACCTGCAAACAAGCAAATAGCATAAGGAATATCCTAGCTCAACAGATCACACCGGGATCCATCTCTCTAAAGCCCTAATAGTCAAGACTTGTTGCCATAATAGGAGCCTGTTTGGCTCTTCCATATGTTCCTAGGGGATGGAGGGAAGTGAAAGTCACATTCATATCCAAACCAGGTAAGAGCGACTATAAAAACCCTAAATCCTACAGACCCATTAGCCTCACATCCTTTCTCCTAAAGACGATGGAGAGGATGTGTGAAAGGGAAATATGGGGGGTCGGCGCTAATGAACTTACTGCTACACGACCAGCCTAGGTAAATCGACAGAATCGGCACTTCACCAGGTAATAAAAAAAAGATTGAAGAGGCCATTCAAAACAAAGAAATATGTCTAGGTTCCTTCATAGATATAGAAGGTGCTTTTGACAGAACAAACTTCTCCAGCATAAAAGGTGCACTCAGTAGACATAAAGTTGAACTGGCACTGATTGACTGTCAAGTGTTCTTGAGTCTGAAACAATCCAGATTAAAAAAGACTGTCCGCAGGGTGAGGTTCTTTCACCACTCCTGTGGAATATGGTCATTAATGAACTCATCAGCAAATTAAATGACAATCACTTCTACACAGTAGGTTATGCTGATGACCTGACAAAACTGGTCTCTGGAAAGACAGCAAGCATGGTGTGTGACCTGACCCAAGCGGCTATCTGTATGGTGGAGAGATGGTGCAGGGAATACGACTTAACCATCAATCCAAATAAAACAGTTCTAGTAATGTTCACACAAAAACGAATGCTGAATAACTATCATCTCCCAAGTCTTTTCAGCACAATACTCCAACTATCCTCTTAGGTAAAATATTTAGGTATTACCTTGGATAGTAAACTTAACTGGAATAAACACATAAATAACAAAATCAACAAAGCTAGTAGTATAACTTTCTGAAATGCAGAAACATGATTGGCAAAAGATGGGGTCTGATGCCAAAAATCATACTGTTATTACTGGCTTTTCTGGCTGTACACAACGACTGTAATTCGGCCTAAGATTACATACGGTGCTCTGGTATGGTGGACCAAGACAAATGAAGCCAACACTGTAAAGAAGCTTCAGCGCTACCAGAGACTGGCATGTATGGCTGCCACAGGCTGCATAAGGACAACAGCAGCCTTAGAGGCAATGCTAACCCCGCTTCATTTACACATACGCTTCTTGTTGTATGACTCAAGACCTTAAATCTTTGGAGTAAGAATAAAGTCCCTCATACAGGCATAATTGATAGAATTCACTCAAAAATTCCTATCTAAGTACAATAAGATCCCTAAACAATTTGTATTCGATAAGAAGTACAAGATACAATTAAATGAAACCAGCCAGCCGGAAGGATTAAGTCCAAAAGAGCGATGGTTCTAAAACAAATGAATGTGTAGGATCTGGAACTTTCTCTGAAGACTTCAATATTCACATATGCACACCGCTGGGTACCTACAACACAGTCCTTCAGGCGGAATGTATGGGTATCATTCAAGCTGCCATAGCAATAGATGCTAGGAAGGTTAATGACTTCTCCATCAAAATACTGACCGACAGTAGGGTGGTACTACAAGCACTGAACTGCAATGTGGTGAACTCGGGACTAATATATGAATGCCATCAACAATTAAATAAGGTATGTAAACACAACAATGTGACTCTGCAATGGATAAAGAGACACAGTGGATCCAGAGGCAATGATGCAGCAGACAAACTGGCCAGAAGAGGATCGGCTCTGGCCACTATAGGGCTGGATCCAATCATACCAATCCCTTTGGTAACGTTTGTTCACTGGTACTCAGCTTTGGAAAAATCTAGTAGACTGTAGACAAGATAGGGAGGCCCTGCCTGAAATAAACTGTTGTTTAACCAAGGTCCTAATGAGACTGAACAAGCCGCAGATTAGGATAGTAACAAGTGCTATCACAGAACACCTTTAACAAACATTTATTTACAATAGGTGTTACAGATAGTCCCCTATGCAGGGCATGTATGGGAGAGGAAGAAACGGTGGCCCACGTGTTGCTGACATGTCTGGAGTTTACTACATACAGGGCTAAACATCTTGGCACGCCGGGATCACTCCCCGAAGTTGCATGCAACATCAAAGGACTGTTGAACTTCTTTGGGGAGATCTCATGGCTCGAATAATTACTTTATTCCTGCCCACACGCAAAATACGCGCTTAGACGTGGAGTTGCGGAAAACACCCGTCGTAAACTATCTGCAGCTTCATTTCCCATCTAACAGCCATGAGATTAAGAGTATGATCACAGAGTTTTTGTCTTCTTCCACGACGGGTCTTGCAGAACTTAACTCTGACCACATGGACTGTTTTCACAAGCTTGTCATTTATATTGTCCACTGCATTGCAGTCTTCTATGCACTGAAAACGGTTTAGTCAGTAAGAAACCTTACTAACCTCAAAAGAGTAAATCAAAGCTAAAAAATTGATCGAAGCCATGTCTTAACTTAATTCCAAATAACTTCAAGTTAAGTGCGCAAGCTAAGTGTAACATGGTGATAAAACATAGATGTATATGATAAATGCAATTATAAATATGACAATACCCCTTTCAAACAAGAAAAGGACCATACTCAGCTGGAGTACATACATCATCATCATCATCACAACCCGTCACAAGTCCAATGCTGAACATAGGCCTCCCCCAAGGAATGCCACAAAGCACAGTCCCAAGCCAGCTACATCAATTGACTTCTTGTATGTTTTACAAGGTTGTCACTCCATCTAGTGGAGGGTCGCCTTTCATTTCACCTACCGGTACAAGGTTGCCACTTAAGAACCTTTTTTCCTCATCAGTTGTTGGTTCTTTGAGCTATATATGTACATTCGGTACATACATAGATAACTTTTATTATAAATAGGTGAAACTAAGAACCTAAAATTAAAATTAAATTACATGATATTCTGATTTAGCTTTACCAAGAGTTCTACATAATCTTAATATAAGAGTGTCATAAGATACACCAGAGGGAAATTGAAACAAGAGATGGGCATTAACATGTATCAACTCAAAATAATAAGGAAACTAAAGTTGACAATCCTGCTGCCAAGCATCCACAGCATCAGTTCAGCAGTGGACTTTTAACAGGTTGTAAGTGGACATTTTACAAGGTTTGTTTGACAGATTGTTGTTCGATTAATGAATGTAAGAATGCAGAAAATATCCATTTATGTCATGTCAAATATTTTTTGACCTACTGTAAGCCTTGCAAAGCTTGGCTAAAATCTCAATATAGCTAGTAAGTAATGATGTAATCTTAGATTAGTAAAAAAAAAAATACTAAATTGTACTGGCATAGCTCAGGAATAGTAATTTGTCCTTCCTAAGGTACCTGTTACAATAAGATAAAAAGATAGCCTAGCAAATTATTCCAATCACCTGCTGAAGAACATACTGTATACAACCAACTTGGTCCACAGCTGATAGATGGTATTTTAAAAGTTTATAACTTCAGCTCTAGCGGCAGCAGTATTACACGAATGATTTGCATAATATTTGACAGTTTTTAAGAATTTATATGTCAAATGGAGACAATTACCTTCCACGCAGTCGGGACACCAGCTTCTACCATCAGGTAGTTTTGAACCACTAAAATAAAATAAAACAGGGGGCCCTTTGGAATCTATAGTTTCCGTGTATTTTGTGAATTCTTCAAAACCATTAATATCCACAAAGGTAACCATTTTAAACAGACTCCTATATTTGATAGCTTTTATCGATAATAACGATAAGGGACAGTTTCCTGTATAGGATAGTTAGGTACTATGACTCCAATATAGTTTGTGTATGACTCTTTGGGGCAGATCTTATCACTATTTGATTAGGGACATTCCGATACTAGCAAATACAAGTAGGTACCCGATACTTTTGATTCGATACCAAGTACTGATAGCATCGAATCAATCCTGCGATACTTACTCGGTATCGAAACAAAAGTACTTGGTATCGCATCAGGCGAGCCGAACCCGTCCGACTTCAACCGAGCCGAGACCGAGAGAGAGAGAGAGAGCCGCCATTACACTAAAATTGTCACTGTAGGGCGTCGTAAAGCGACAATTAAAAACAAAAGAACTTAACCTAACAACAACGAAACAACAAAAATAGAACAAAAAAAAATATAATTTATTTAAAATTTAAAAAGATATTTACAGTTTTATATAAAAAAATGAAGTATTATGATGATTTTTTTTTTTTTTTTTTTTTTATAGGATAAGGGTGACAAACGAGCACACAGTCCACCTGATGGTAAGTGGTTGCTGCGGCCCATAGACATCTACATCTATCCTCTGTTACAAATCAAAATGTAGATGCGTTGTCACCCGTGAGGACTAAGATGGAATGCCTCATTTCCAGTAAAAAGGGCCTCCGGCCACCTGCACTCACCAAGCGAAACGCAGAGGTAAACCTCTACTTCACGCTGGTTTTCTGTGAGGTCGTGGTACTACCCCGGTTCGAGCCGGCCCGTCCGTGCGACAGCAAAAGCTGCCGCGTGGCTCTACCACTGTTGAAATGATGATGGGTGACGTGAATTACAATTATTTAAAAAAAGATAATAAAGATAAATGAGTACTGAAGCGGAGCCCGAAGACCAAAGTGGCACACCGCGCTTGGCGGTGGTGCTCACCGCTCACGGAGTATGCACAGGTTGTGCCTGTGGTAGGCGCGCAGCGCCTGGACTAGGCACACGCAACGCCTGGAGTAGACACAGGTAGCGCTTGGAGTAGGCACACGCAGCGCCTGGTCTAGGAACACGCAGCGCCTGGAGTAGGTACACGCAGCGCTTGGAGTAAGCACACGCTGAGCCTGGAGTAGGCACACGCAGCGCTTGGAGTAGGCGCACGCTGCGCCTGGAGTAAGCACACACAGCGCCTTGAGTAGGCGCTCTCAGCGCCTGGAGTAAGCGCTCGCAGCGCCTGGAGCAAGCACGCACAGCGGCTAAAGATAGCGCGGGCACTAGTAGGTGGAGGCGTGGGCGTGGCTAGGCGACGACTTCAGGTGAAGGCAGAGGCTTGCAGGATCCCTGGGCAGTGCGGCCCCGGGATAAGGCCTTTAGGAGATGCTTCAAGTTTGAAAGCTGAAGCGAGACTGAGTTTATTGGATTTATAATGGGACTCACTGCCTACCGGGGGACCTAAGTGATACCCACTAAAAACCGCCTTTGGGGACTGGCAACTAGCTCTATTAAAGCTGCATATGCCGTATCTAAAGCGACCCTCTTTTGGGAAAAGAGGGCGCAGACGGCTAAGTGCCGTTTAGGGACTGCCTACGAAGGCATATTATTAATTTTAACTAGTTTTTAATTTAATTAGGATTGGCCTGAGCCGCCAGGAGGCAGTTCAGGTCGTTTGACAACTTATTTGGCGGGTCCAAGAGAGTGTTTCTCGGCCTGCGGACGCTATAGCGAGAAGGGAGTGGGGCGGTATAAGTAACTGCCTCACGAATAAGTGTGTTAGTATGCGACTCTGATACTTTAAAGAAGTTTTCAGAGAATTTTTTAAGACATTGCTGGATTGTTGGGATTTCTAAATCCCGGTGAAGGTCGGCATTACGGACGTACCAAGGTGCGTTCGTAGCTCGACGACAGAAGAGGTTTTGAACTACTTGGAGTTCGTTAATAATTTTATCGTTAGCGTGTGCAAAAATAGGAGCCGAGTAAGTCATAACCGGTCGTATACAAACCTTATAGAGGGTTCGCTTATTTCGTAATGACATTTTGCTATGTCTGCCTAACATACTGTTAAGCCGACCTAAATAGAAACGTGCTAGACGCGTTACTCTTTTGACATGAGACTCAAAAGTAAGCCTATAGTCAAGGGTGACGCCTAAATATTTTGCTGACATGTGCCATGGGACAGGGGTCCCTAGCATTCGTATAGGTGGAGTATTTTTCTTGTTTTTATTACGGCGTCTTTTAATATCGAATTGAACTGCGGAGCTCTTCTCCGGGTTCACATCGATACGCCATTTTTGGAACCAGTCTCCTAGGTCATCGACTGACTTTTGGATCTTGTTCCTTGCTGAAGATATTCTAGGACTTTTGAAGTATAGTGCAGTGTCATCTGCGAAGAGTGAGAGCTGTACACCATTCGACGGGATAGGAATGTCGTTGGTGTACAAGATGTACAGGAGGGGAGCTAGTACTGATCCTTGAGGAACACCAGCTTTGAACACCAGCTTTAATGGGGCGCTGAGAGGATAACGTGCCTTCGTGTCTAAAACGAAAGGTACGATGTTGTAAATAAGAGGCTACGAGACGTACTAGACGATCGGAGAGTCCTATCCTATATAATTTGAAAATAAGGCCTTCATGCCAGACTCGGTCGAAGGCTTTGGCAATGTCGAAAAAGACCGCGATTGTCTTTAGTCGACGTGGATAAAAACCGCTGAGGATATATTCCACAATGCGGTGTACCTGTTGTGGACACGAGTGTTTTGCGCGGAAACCAAATTGGTGTGGGATGACAATGGGGTCACCGTCTGTGGGAAACAGATGGCGCCTCATTCGATTTTGAATGACTCTTTCAAAGAGTTTGCCCATGGCCTTTAGGAGGCTAATGGGACGATGACTGGAGGGGAGGTTAAGAGGCTTGCCTGGCTTGGGAATACCAATGACAATTGCCTCTTTCCAAGAAGTGGGAAAGTAACTAAGATTAAAACAGGCGTTAAAGATAATAGCTAAGAGGGTTAACACCTGCTCTGGAAAGTATTTAAGGGCTTGGTTGGATATGCCATCCGCGCCCGGAGATTTTTTGGGCTTAAGTCCTTTGATGAGGGACGAGATCTCATCATTGGACACAGTGATAGGGTCAGAGGTTGTGGGGGGTGAGTTCCGGCGGCGGACCTCATCCTCCACTTCCTGAATATGTGAGGGGTCGACAGGTTGAGAGCTAGGAGAGCATTGTGCGGCAATGCTTTCTGCAAAGCACTCAGCCTTCTCGTCGTCCTCGAAGGCAACCGTACCGTCGGGGCGGGAGAGAGGGGGAGTGTGAGTTGTAGCGTCTATACGGAGGGCTCTAGCCATCTGATAGTACGCTGTATGTGAGGGAGATATATTCTCCATGAGTTCACTCCTTTGGAGCTCTCGAAATTCATAAAGGTGCGAACGGAGTTTTCGTTGAAGACGATTAGCCGTATGCCTATATTCGGGGGTGGGATATTTAGCTGCTCTCCGGAAAGCAGCTTTTTTAGCTTTTAATATGTTGCTAATATATAGGGGAAGCCCATTAGTATTAGCAACCGGAACGACCCTTTCATTCTCCTTAAGGGAGGATTTAATTAGGGTTGAAAGTGATTCGACCGCGGTGTCGATTTTTACAGGACTGTCTAAGTCTAAGTCCGACGATAGGTAATTAGGGGAGTCCTGCGAGTCCATAGCTTTTGCTAGTGAGTCCTTGAAACCCTTCCAGTTAGTGAAGGTTTTCGTAGTTATAATAGGGGGTGGCTGATGGCCAAGAATAAGAGAGACCGGTCGGTGATCGGATCCTATATCGTCTAGTGTCTCAATAGACCTGAGGTTGAGTGAAACTCCTTTGAGTAACGCAAAATCTAGTACATCTGGGTTATAATCGGTATTATCGGGATAGTGCGTTGCACCGAGCGGGCTGAAAACGGTTAAGTCAAGAGATTGCGTTATATCACGCAGTTTCCTACCATTAGTATTAATCGTACGGCATGTCCATTCAGTATGTTTAGAGTTGAGATCTCCAAACATAATGACTGAATTACTTTGAGATAGGATTGCCTCAAAATCATCTTTGAGGGGGAGGTTTTTAGGGGGAATGTAACAGGAGGCTATGACTAAAGACTGATGTCCCGTCATAGATATCCTGCATAACGTAGCTTCCATATTGGTAAGCTGTGGAGTATCAATAAGAAAGCAATGTAGTGTCTTCTTGTAATAAATGGCCGTGCCGCCGCCTCGGCGGTCGTGCCTATCATTACGAAGAAGAGAATAATTTTTAATGGATAAGCCTTTATTGTCTGTGTGTTTAAGATTGGTTTCCTGTAAGAGGAGAAAATCAGCTTCGCGATCTTTAAGGAAGAGCTTAAGCTCTGGGAGATTATTACGCAATCCGCGAATATTAAATGAAATAAGCGATAGCCCTTTGGGCTTGATACGACCGTGACTTCTAGGCAGAGCAGAAGGCTCTGTCATTATAAGCTAAGTTAATTAAGTTAACTTAGCTTACAACGAACGCAATAAATTACTGTGTTCTGCGAGAGCCAAAAGCCGGTCCTGAGGGGACCGGGCGGCGCGCAGTTTACTCGCTAAAACCGAGATTTCGTTAATGTCGATGTTCCTTATCGCGGCGTAAACCGTGTTAAAGTCATCGCCAATTGTCGACTGTTTCTGCTGCGGAGCAGAAAATACCTGTGGCGGTGGATCTACCTTTTTGGGGCCCCAGGCAAAAACTGGAGCCTGCATAGGCTTGGAGAAGCCCGGTGGTGGCCTAAGCGGTGCCTGCGGTGGTCTCGGGGGACCCTGAGGGGGTCGTGCAAAGCCCTGAGACGGCTGAGATACGCCCTGACGGGGCTTCCTAACATATAAGGCCGGGAATGAACGGTCATTTACCGGCGGTGGTGCCTGTCTTGCTATGCGCGGACGAGGAGCGCACGGGCATCCTCTGTAGCTCGCCGGGTGGCCTGTCTGTTGACACAGGACGCACGCGGGCGGGGATACGGCATCTTTGGGACACTCTTTGGTGATGTGCGGATCTAGGCACTTAACGCACCTGGGTGGGGCGGAGCAATTGGCCGCCGCGTGACCATACAATTGGCAGGGGTGGCACTGCGCCGGGAAACCGCGCCTACGCGGTGACTCAACCTTGACTCCAGACAAGCCGCACACAGTGCGTACTTGCCGGAAGATGGTTTTAGCCTCCGGGACGTTACTTAAGATTACTAATATTACCGGGTATCTCAGCCCGGTCCTACTATGCATTTTGTGAACCGCTTCAACGGGGAAACCTTGTGACTTAAGGTCCGCAAGTATCTCCTCGTTGGAGAGTTCAAACGGGACGCCTCGGATGACGACCCTAACTTTACGCTCTTCCGGGAGAGCGTATGTGTGGTACGATACGCGTTCGTACGTAAAAAGTTTCGTGATACGGCGGAAATCGTCGATCGTGGTTGGCAATATTTTGATTGCTACGCCTAAGTTGGTAGCATCCTCGTACTTAATTTTCGAGTCGTAACATATCTTACTGAGCCGGGTAAATTCAGCCTTATCTCTTAAGAAGACAGGGGGCGGGGCTTGTTTCTTAGCTAATTGCGGCGCACAACGCGTGGCCGGTTTTGTTGGCGCTGAGCTATCTAACGCGGCAGCTCGGGCTGCAGGGACTGAGGCAGCGGCGGGGGCTGCGGGGGTGGGGGGAGCGGCACGGGCCGCTACGGCGGGGGGCGAACGGTTTTTCGCGGCGCGCTTCGATGCGCGCTTTGACGAAACCGTGGTGTACGACGATGTATTGGAGTCACCGGTATCATCGGAGTCAGAGGACTCCGATGTCCTGGTGCTTGACTGTTTAGCAGACCTCTTCCTGGAGGCAGATGTTGATGACGCGGAATCGGAGTGAGAGCACTCCATGTCGATTTCAAGCGCGGCGAACGAGTTCTGGGACTCTAAGTAGTCCGCTAACACCGGCGGCGGGATGGTTGCCTTACGGGCGGTACCAGCCAGAAGGGCTAGGGCGGCGGAAAGCGCCTGCGAATCTTCCACCTTAGTGATGGCGTCCCAAAGTGATGATTTTAAGTCCTTCGTGGACATGTTGATTAATTAATTAACTAAAAAATAAAAAAAAAATAAAAATAAACTATTTAAAACTACTAGTAGGGCGTGGGGGATCACCGCACTGAAAGTGCGGGACGTTCTTATTCTGAAACTCTCCCTCGTCCTCAAAAGGACGGGGGCTAAGTCAAGAAACAATATGACAATATACACGTTATATATACTACACATATAATTATAATAAACTACTAACATATACAGTACTAGTGTACTACAATATAAAAAGCGTTCAGTCAGATCTCCCCGACCTGAAGGCGGGGGGGTAAGAGCTGAGAGTTAGCGATGAGACACTCACCCGACTTCAGCGCTTATAGCGCCAACACTGAGAGGCGCGCGGGGCGCGAAACTGGGGGGGCGCTAACGGAGCGCACGCGGACTACCTGGTACACCCGCTCGAGAGCGGAGCCACAGGTGGAATGAGTTTATTGGCCGATTGTTCGGCTTTTATACCTTTTTAGAGAGCTCCGCGCTCGACGGCGGATCTGGGATAAGAACGGAAAATTATTTAAATTAAAAGCAAAATTTTGTAAATGGCCAAGAGGAAAAGAGTATTTTTGTGGAAGAAATAAAGGTGATACAAAATATCCAGTTTTGAGGTGAATGCAGAAAATCAAAACAGAATGGAAAAATGAATTTAAAATAGTGTAAAATGATATGTAAGTAACAACACTACAAGGGATGGGCAAAGGGAAAAAATATATCGAATCTATATTTTTAAACAGAATCGATATATATCGCGTGATAAATATCGATATATCGTCATCATTGGAATGATGTAAAGATAAGGTCCAAAATTATATCTACTGACGGTTGGACGACGAAAAAAACGATAGAACATTTTAAAATATATCGAAATTGATACGAATTCGTTACTCTAAAATAAATATCGATATGTCGATATATCGTGATTTATAATATTGACGATATATATCGATATTTTTTGCCCAAGCCTATGTCACTGGTCCAGTCAGCACTAGCAGTGTTCAGCATTCCACAAGTGATTGTTTACGATTACGTTACGAGTAATTTAAGTTATTGTAGTCATCGGTTTATTGTTCCAATGTTATCATGGCACCACCAAATTTTTATTTTTTTTTATTTATTTAAGTTTTCATGCACAAAGTTATACATATGGCGGACTTAATGCCATAGGGCATTCTCTCCCAGTCAACCATTAGGCTAAACAGAGATATACAAATAAGAGGCGGTGTGCGGTAGAAAGCGCTAAAAGAAAAAAAATTGTATATACATATATACACATACATAGACATATATACTTAAATACACACAATATATACATATATAAATACATACACATATACACGCATACACTACATATATACACAATACTTATAAATATTATCTATGTCAGAACAAATATGATACATACATATGTGTATGAAAATAAAAGCTATGTTAGTTCAATCTTGATAAAAAGATAAACTGCCTCACAGTGTTTATTAATCTTAAAAAGGCATTTGACACCGTGTCTACCCCCATTCTATTGCAGAAGTTAGAAAACTGTGGGATTAGAGATGTGCCCCTTGACTTGTTTAAAAGTTACATGACTGGTAGGACTCAGAGGGTAAAAATAGGTTCACATATAAGTCAAAAAACTAGTGTCACTTATGGCGTGCCGCAAGGAAGCGTCTTAGGGCCCACCCTGTTTCTAATATACATAAACGAACTTTGCAATATGAAGATCCCACATGCTAGCATATTCTCATATGCTGACGACACTGCCATTGTGTTTACAGGCGACTCCTTGAATAATTTAAAAAGTACTTAAAAAGTAATTTAAAAAGTACAGAGTACGATTTAGCTGTGATTTCGCAATGGCTAAGTCTGAACTTACTAACGTTAAATACCAACAAAACAAACTATATTTTGTTTTCCATAAAAAACAGTCTGCCTAACTTTCCCAGTGATATTAAGATTCATTGCTGTCAGCCGCTAGTTAACACGAATTGCAACTGCCCCACTATAACTAGACTAACATCTACGAAGTACCTTGGTGTCTTAATGGACCAGATACTTTCATGGATGTCTCATGTCGAATTAGTTTCTGGCAGATTACGTAAATTAAATTAATGTGGATATTTAAAACACTAAGACACTGTAGTATACTTACCTCTTTGTTATAATATACAACCTTATTCATAATTGCTATAAACGAAGATATCTGTCATCTTAAAATATTATTACTTGTCAATGAATTTTGTCTTTATAATGTATGTAATCTTTTATGTTGAATAAAACCAAATATCCATTGGTTTTGACTTTCTTTATCAATTTATTCAACATAAATTGTTTTAAAATGTCGATAAACGATGCAAGCTGTTCTTCTTCGGAAATAAACACGATGTCGCGATTTCTTCGACCAGACCGGTTTGATGTCGAACCTGAAACACCGGCAGCAGACCTAAAATGGAGCCACTGGCGGTATACATTTTCAAATTTTTTAGGCCACGAACAATCAAATCAGATTTCTGATTCAACTAAGTTAAAATTGCTCATCAACCATTTGTCGCCGACAGTCTATTCACTAATACGTGACTGTTCTTCTTATGTGACTACCATTCAATTGCTTGATAGCATTTATATAAAGGCTAAAAATGAAATCCATGCACGATATACTCTAGCAACCAGAAAACAAAAGCCCGAGGAGTCTATTACTGAATATATTCGAGCTCTCAGGCAATTAGCATACGACTGTAATTTCAAAAACGTAACGGCGGAGCAAAATAAGAATGACTATATTCGTGATGCCTTCATATCGGGTATCACAAGTCAAAAGATACGACAAAGGCTTTTAGAAAACATAACTTTGACATTGGAGGAAGCCCAAAATCAAGCTACATCTTTAGAAACTGCTGAAAAAAATTCTTTAACTTATACAAACTGCAATAATCATCAAATGCAATTACATGCTGTAACTGATACTTACAATGAAAAACCAGAAAGTAGCACGCAGAATTACAGCATAGCCATTGCAGCAAGTCAACGTAAGCGATGTTTTTTTTGTGGTAATAAAAGTCTACATCAACGCATAAAATGCCCTGCTTTTAACGCAATATGTCAATTATGTTTAAAGAAAGGACACTTCGCTACTGTTTGCAAAAGTGGTAGACCAACTGTAAATGCTGTAGACAGTGAAGTTGCGGATGATATTAAAACCAAATATATATCTGCTGCATCTCCATCTAGCTTAAGCAAAGCGACAGTGCCTATTATGATTAATGAATTCCACGCTGAAGCTCTGATTGACACAGGAAGTTCTGTCAGTTTTATAAATAAGACATTAGCCCAAAATATGAACTTAAAGATGAGACCTCATAAGCAGGCTATATCTTTGGCTTCCCTTAGTCATATTTCTTTTGTAGAAGGCATTACATATGCAACGATAAATTTAGACAAGCATACATATTCAAATCAACCTTTACTGATTGTCAATAACCTATGTGCAGATGTTATCCTAGGACATGATTTATTGAAAAGCCACAAGACATTAGAATTCAACTTTGGGGGTTCAAGGGATTCCTTAAAAATATGTGTTATGGAAGCGTCAGTACCTCCTGTATCGTTGTTTACGAACCTTTCTTCAAACATAAAGCCAATTGCAATAAAGTCAAGGCGTTATACAAAAATTGATGAAGAATTTATTAGAGGAGAAGTTTCTAAATTGTTGAAAGATGGAGTGATTGAACCAAGTAACTCTCCTTGGCGAGCGCAAGTACTAGTAACAGGAGGCACTACACATCGAAAACGTCTTGTCATTGATTATTCCTTAACAATTAATAGATTCACTGAACTCGATGCGTATCCACTACCTAACATTGAATCTATGGTTTCCAACGTTGCAAAATACAACTATTTCAGCCAAATTGATTTAAAAAGCGCTTATCACCAAGTGCCGATTTTAGAGACTGAACGAAAATATACAGCATTTGAAGCATGTGGGGCCCTATATCAATTTACTCGTATACCATTTGGAGTCACTAACGGCGTGGCTGCGTTTCAGAGAACGCTACAGTTCATAATTGAGGCTGAAAATCTTAGAGGCACCTTCTGTTATTTAGATGACGTGACTGTATGTGGCAAAAATAGAGACGAACACGATAAAAACTTGCAGCAATTTATGAATGCTGTGAAGAAATACAAACTTACGTTAAATGAGAAGAAATGCACTTTTGGATCAAAAAGTATAAGTCTATTAGGATATTACATTGAGAATAACGTTATCAAGCCAGACAAAGAACGATTAAAACCACTATTGGATCTCCTTACTCCAACAGATGCAGCCTCATTAAAACGTACTTTGGGTATGTTAGCTCACTATTCGAAGTGGATTTACAACTTTTCATACCTTATTAAGCCTTTGATTGATAACACACGATTCCCACTTAGTCAAGAAGCCATAAAATGTTTTAATATTTTAAAATTGGAAATAGCCAAAGCGTCTCTGACAGCTATTGACAATGATGAAACTTTTACAGTAGAAACCGATGCATCCGAGCACTCAATAGCTGCTACCCTTTCTCAAAATGGTCGCCCTGTAGCTTTCCTTTCAAGAACTTTGTCCAACACTGAACGCGGCCATTCATCTATAGAAAAAGAAGCAAGCGCAATTGTGGAAGCACTTCGTAAATGGCGCCACTATCTTATTGGAAGAAATTTTATTTTGATAACCGATCAGCAGTCTGTTGCTTTTATGTTCAATCAAAAACATTTAAGCAAAATAAAAAATGAAAAAATTGAACGGTGGCGCTTAGAACTGTCTTGCTATAAATACTACATAATTTATCGTCCAGGTCGACAAAATACTGTAGCTGATGCATTATCAAGAGTATGCGCTCTCATTAATCCGAATAAGCTGTATGAACTACATGACCAGCTGTGTCATCCCGGTGTTACCAGAATGGTACACTGGATAAGATCAAAGAATCTTCCATATTCTGTTGAAGAAATAAGATTAATGACAGCATCTTGTAAAGTATGTGCTGAGATAAAACCACGGTTCTGTCAATCAAAAGGCCAGTTGATAAAAGCTATTGCTCCATTCGAGAGAATAAATATCGATTTTAAAGGCCCACTCCCATCGAATACTCAAAACCGATACCTACTGACAATTATAGACGAGTACTCGAGGTTTCCGTTTGCGTATCCCTGCAGTGATTTATCGGCTGCTACAGTGATACGATGTTTGAAAGATCTTTTTCACACTTTCGGATTTCCATTATACGTACATTCCGATCGAGGTACGACTTTTTTATCAGAAGAGCTCAAAAATTTTCTAACGCCACTTGGAATAGCTACAAGCAGAACCACACCTTACAATCCTCAAGGAAATGGCCAAGTTGAACGACTAAATGGCACATTATGGAGAGCAATACAACTCAGTCTTCGTTCCAAGAATATGGACATTTCAAACTGGGAAAGCGTATTATCCAATGCGTTACACTCACTTCGGTCGCTTTTATGTACGACTACAAACGTCACTCCCCATGAAAGAATGTTCAATCATCCACGTCGTTCGCCTAATGGAAAATCTTTACCTACGTGGCTTATAAACTCTGGACCTGTACTTATAAAGAAAAATATAAGAACATCCAAATATGATCCACTTGTTGAAGAAGCAGAAGTTTTTCACGCAAATCCAACTTACTCGCATGTTCGTCTCTCTGATGGCCGAGAATGCACTGTATCCAATAGACAATTGGCGCCTCTTCCTATGATTCGGATTAGTGAAGAGGAAAATGAAAATGGCCAAGATAATGGAAATAATATTCGCCCTGATATGAATACAAACAATGAGCCAGTAGAACCTGTACAATCTAAACAAACCGAAAATGTTCAAAATAACAGTACAGAGCACGATACAGAAAATAGCGGACTGCGCCGTTCCACTCGTGACAGACGGCCTCCCTCATATCTGCGCGATTATGTTGGAACTTCAAGGGCGGGTGATTGTAGTATACTTACCTCTTTGTTATAATATACAACCTTATTCATAATTGCTATAAACGAAGATATCTGTCATCTTAAAATATTATTACTTGTCAATGAATTTTGTCTTTATAATGTATGTAATCTTTTATGTTGAATAAAACCAAATATCCATTGGTTTTGACTTTCTTTATCAGACACATTGCAAATAAAAAGTTACTTGATCGGATCTATATTGCGTTGGCACAATCTGTTTTGATTTATTGTATAACGATATGGGGTGGTGCTGTAAAAACTCATTTTATACAATTAGAACGAGCTCAAAGGGGATTGTTAAAAATTATGTATTTCAAAACAGGTCATTTTTCAACAAATTCTTTGTATTTATATGCAGATTTATTGACAGTTCGTAAACTTTACATATTGCACGTAGTTCTGAAAAAACATATGTCCTTTAATATTGACACCAATATTTCAACTAAAAGAAGAAAAGGTAGAGTCGCCACGCTAAATTACAACAAGACTAAATTTGCTCGCAATCAGTACAAAAACATCTCGTCTCATTTATATAATAAAATAAATAAAATACTAGATATATATCCTATGACTTATAGAAACTGTAAAACAAAACTCACTGAATGGCTGAAGACATTAGAATTTATTGATGTTGAAAACCTGTTAAATTAGAATTTTGATATGAGTATATTTATGTGTAAATCACTCATTCATTACATACATACACACATAACCTCCATGTAGTTGTATATGTAACTACCAACTCTGCTCAGTGGCTTAACGCTGATCTGAAGACTTTTTATGTCGTAGGGCTGTGCGGAGGGAAAAGTATGTAAACTTTCATACAACACATTACACGCACATACACTACATACATATTAAACACACACTACCGTAAAACCGTACAACTTTGCCCAAATTTCTTGCGATTTTTTATTCTACTTTAAATATTTTTTTAATAATATTATTTTCAATTTGTAATTACGCTACACCATTGATAATTGTATTATTCTTTGCATAGAATTTATGATAATATCAAGACAATTAATGTTTATGTGCTAAAAACCTTAATTTGGACGGCGGGCCAAATATATAGAACATTTTACAAGTTTGCCCATTTTGCAGAAACCTCCGTAACTTCGTTATTTTATACTTTAAAAACGTTAGATGTAGGGGCCATTTTAGTAAAATAATCAACCTATCATAGGATCTTAATACTAAACGTCAAAAGTTCATTTTAGCTTTAAAATTTGAGTGGGCAAAGTCGCAACAATTTTTTTGCAATTTTTCATTCAAATGAAAGGTTGAAATAGGGTTGTCACTTTTTTATTAATAAAAGAACGGTGTACGTAGGTACGTTATGAGCTTGCTACATATATATTTGTCTATGGTTATGATCACGTAACTTGCTCTTAAACATTAATCTAGAAATTTTGAAACAATCATAGAATTAGAAGTATTTTAAAGCAAATGCTTACTAGCTTTAAAACAAACAATACCTATAGGTAATATTAACCTTAATATCAACTCTTAATATAAACGTTGACTCATATAAATCTATATTGAAGATAAATATTTCTAAAACAAACAATATAATACTATAGATTAACAGTACCTCTTAGCATATCTAAGTAATAGGAATTAAACATTTATTAGCCTTATCAAAATTAAATAAAATATAACTTAATTTTACTTTTCTAATTGCTTGCAGTTATACTACAGAAGTGATACAAAACAGAGACCTGTACTATACCTGTGATTGGACTGTTTCACAAGTATAGTGCAGATCTATGTTTTCAATGACTTATATATTAACTTAAATCTATATATAGTAAAGTCAACATTTTTTTTATGGCAGTGGCAATTAATATCAACAATGCAAAATAAAACGACTAATAAAACAAACTAGTAAAAATCAACAATAATCATCGGGGTGCTTCTTGAGGTTAATTATTCTTAAACAACCTAGGAATATTTTTTGTGAAATTACCTTATTGCAGGAAGATTTCGAGAAGAGCTTTGCGACACTAAAGAAGTGATACAAAACAAAGACCTGCACTATACCTGTGATTGGACTGTGTTTCACAATTTATAGTGCGTATCTATGTTTTAAATGACCTATATATTAACCTAAATCTACATACAGTAAAGTCAACATTATATTTTTGTGGCGATAACAGTTAACATAAACAATCCAAAATTAAACGACTAATAAGACAAACTAGTAAAAAATCAACAATAATCACCGAGGTACTTCTTGAGGTAAATTGTTCTTAAACAACCTAGGAATATTTTTTGTGAAATTACCTAATTGCTGGAAGATTTCGAGAAGAGCTTTGCGATACTAAAGAAGTGATACAAAACAAAGACCTGCACTATACCTGTGATTGGACTGTTTCACAATTTATCGTGCATATCTATGTTTTAAATGACCTATATATTAACCTAAATCTATATACAGTAAAGTCAACATTATATTTTTATGGCAGTAACAGTTAACATAAACAATACAAAATTAAACGACTAATAAGACAAACTAGTAAAAAATCAACAATAATCATCGAGGTACTTCTTGAGGCAAATTATTCTTAAACAACCTAGGAACATTCTTTGTGAAATTACCTTATTGCTGGAAGATTTCGAGAAGAGCTTTGCGTGTTGGCAATTCCATATAAATAAATTAAAATATTTTGTTATTGTATATTGTAGGAAGAATTAAAGGTAACATCAAACAATATTTGGCCTCGTCTAGAAATACTTGGTGGAGGTAATACTATTTCCACATCATCACGATTCACTTCACTCACGTGCTCCACAATCGGATACGTAAAAATCACTTTGCCATCTTTTGCATTATTCACTTTTCTTGCAAATTTTACCATAGCAGTACTATTTTTTATAAATAAAACACGGCCAACAAAGTGCTTAATGCTTTTTTTTTTGTCGCAATTTTTACAACTACCCAGTCCTCTTCTCGTAAATCTACATCGCTTGTAAAATAGGTGATATCACTGAATCCAAAGGGTGCAGTGAAGTTTTCTGGCTCACAGTTTTCCTTGTTGTCTATCTCTTGTAAACATGTTGATACATATTCATCTAATGTCTCATATTCCGAATCATTTGTGTTAGCAATGCTCAGAATATCCGATTCAGAACTCGTTTCACAATAATATGATCTCAATTTCTTCCGTTTCGCTACCTTTGTTTTTCTTCCATTAGCTAAATTTTATCGTTTTCTTTTATTTTTTTCATATAAGACCACATTACCATTTTCATTGCCCACTTTCTTCATAAGAATTTTCATCTGTAAAGCTGATTTCCCGATGACTTCAGTACCTAATTTTATTTTTTTCTTGATGTTCTTCATTTGCTTAGGGGTTACTTTAACAGCTGAGGTTATTATAACTATAGATTTAGATGAACTATTCGTTACTGATCGTAAACAATCTGGAATATCATTTTCAGCATAAGCTACAAAAGGCTTATTCTGGCTGTCATTTATCATTTTTTTTATTTAATACACAGACATCGGATAGCTGAGCGTTAGTATCATGCGCTGGTGAACCTAAATGAATGTTGATAATTTTGATACCAAGTGCATCAAGTGTGGATGGATTAAGACTATCGGTGAAAATTGGGGTCGTAGTGCTGGTTTTTCCCAAGCGATGATTTCTGAGGTCGACGGCATATCGTATTTAATCGTTTCCTCCCTTCTTATCACTTCACCTGTGATTTCATCTAAGTATATCTCATTTTCTGTATCCAACGATGCCATAATATCTTCTGTCTCTCTTTCTTGGTTTATCTTTATTGTATCTTCCTTATTTTTTCTTACAGATGATTTTTTTTCGTGCTGTTAGTAGAATATTTACTTTCGAAATATCATCAGCACATACCGACTTTTCGAGTTCTGTGCGTAATTTCTTATTTCTTTTTACTTGCATTGGCTTAGCAGCCCTTGATTCCTTGAGATAATCCAATAAAGTCGTATCAAATCCATATTCTGAATCCTCGAAATACTCTGGAATTCTCTTAAAAACATTTCGTGGATTTACAGGCCATATTCCTGTGGCTCTGAAGCCACTTATTATGTTATGGCTTTCTTTATGTTTCATATTTTCTAGTAATTAAGCCAAAAGTTTTGGAAAGTGTTTTTTGTTCAAGGTAGTTTGTCCAGGATTCTTCCATTTGTAATCCAACAAGATCTTTTTCCACTCTCTTTTTAGTGGGCCAAAGTATGCTACATCCAGCGGTTGTGTTAGGTGAGTGGAGTTTGGTGGTAAAAATACCAACCTTATATTGTGTTTTTGACACAATTCCACAACTTCAATATTTATGTGGGAAGACAAAGTATCACCAATGACTACTTTTGGCCCGGAAATTTGTCTCGCCCAGTCAGCCACCATAGTTTTGAAATAATCTTCAAATGAAGACTTATCAAACTAACCTGATTTCGAACAATTATATCTTGTTCCAGCTGGTCCTCCTTCTAGCCACTCTGAATATAAATTTGAAGCTTTATAAACCACATATATTGGTAGACATGTCCCAGCTGCACTTGCAGTAAACATAATAGAAATGCAACTTTTTGTGTTATATAGAATCCTTTCAGGATGCTTGACGCCCCTTCTGAATACACATTTTGAAGTACCTGGATTGTCGGACAAGTTAGTCTCGTCGTAATTCAGTATATTCATCGGTGGTGCACCATCTAGCGTTTCACGTAAATTGGTATAAAATTGCTCCATTTCTTCCAATCCTTTCTCGGCCCGTACTTTTTTTATATTTTGGGTTGTTCTAATGGTTAATATCGAACGATGTCTGTTTAAAAATCCTTCCACCCAAGTATCACTGGGTAATTTGCTATCGAACAAATCTGTCCGTGAATTTTTTTTACGTATTTATAAACCAAAATTTTTATATCCATTTTCGACATGGGACTGCCGTAATCTGCTGAAGCTAACAACACATTTGCCAGTTTTTCTTCCTCTTCTTCAGTGAGTTTCTTTTGTCCTCCAGCTGGTTTCAAGTGAT